TRTCTGCTACATGTGTGGTGCAGATACTTATAGTATGTGCCATATCTGCAAAGTTCCACTTTGTACTAGTAGCCATTCGAAGTAGAGGAAATCCAATGGAGATTCAATCCGGAAGTTTTGTCACAGCAACTATCATAACTATGAATGGTTTGGGCTTGTGAGGAGCAACTACTGCTCTAGAGTAAGAAATGACAAGAAACTGAGAGATAGGACTCAGTGGAAGCCTCCAACCAATGATGAGTTGAAAGACAACAGTGAGTACATGAAATACTTGTTGGACATCGAGGATGATGAAGAGGGCACTGGCGTTGGTGATGAGTGTAATGGTGTTGATGTTGTTGTTTCACCAAGCAACACGACTGTGAACAGTGAACTAACTTTACTGACTGAGAATAGTACTACTACTGGTGGGTTAACAAGCTCAGTGGTTGGATCATTAGAATCAGTGTAATAAATGAAATACTAGAACTAAACTCCTCCRTTTCAGCAAACTCCTCCGTATGAACTGATACTCCTACGTATCAGCAGCTCATTCGGTTGCTTCATACGTATCAGCAAACTCCTCCTCCGTATCAGCAAASTCCTCCGTATCAGCAGCTCATTCGGTTGCTTCATACGTATCAGCAAACTCCTCCTCCTCCATATCAGCAAACTCCTCATCCGTATCAGCAAACTCCTCTGTATCAGCAGCTCATTCGGTTGTTCCTTCTTACGTATCAGCAAACTCCTCCTCCCCCATATCAGCAAAATCCTCCTCCGTATCAGCAAAACTCCTCCTCTGTATCAGCAAACTCCTCCATATCAGCAGCTCATTCGGTTGCTTCCTTCCTATGTATCAGCATCCTCCTTAAATATGAATAGCACACTCATTCGGTTGTTGCTGATTCTGTTGCTGATTCTGTTGCTGATTCGGTTGCTTATTTGGTTGCTTATTCGGTTGCTGATTCGGTTGCTGGTTCTCACGATTCATCTCCTCATAGTCAGCTGAATCAAAGGATAAGCTTCTTCTTTGATCATACATAGAATGTCCCCACTCATCAAAGGCAAACTCTTTTGCACACTGAATGCAGGGGGTTTCATTCTTTTCCCTGTTCATAACAGACCTGTAGATCTCAAAGAACCACTCATGTTTATCCCCAACAGTCATCGTCRGAGGCAAGAGAGGCTTTGCAAATCGCGCCAATTCAATTGCCTTTGCCAGATCTTTCTTCTTTAAGYAGGTCTTCCTTAAACAGCCAGCACAGGTCTCATTCAGCTCTTTGTTGTATGGTGTTGGCTTCTGGTCCCATTCCCAATCCTCCACCCACTTCCAGTCTTCTTGATTCAATACGAATTGGACCCGTGGTGAGGGATCATCGATTATCTCTGGTGGAGGGGGCTCAGGGGCTTTTGGAGGAGGCGCGGAGGGGTCCATAACTATTTGGATCTTCCATCCAATCCCTGGGTCAATTTGTTGTTGCTCTATTAGCTCCATTGCTTCCCTTGCCTTTGATGCTGGGTGCCACTTCATCTCCATGGTGTTACCCTTTACAATTGCGAGCTTCCGCTGTGGCATCCAGTGCTTATACGCACAGGCTTTGGGTCCTTTGTAAACAAGCATCCGKGCTTGGTGCCGGGCCTTCTTTGTTCTTGCTCTCCTCCTGTTCAATTTAACTCTTTGCTTTGGATGGCAACCAAATAAGACAGCACCAGTGCGTCGCRGAGGAACTGAGTCTGGGGAGCTCACAGGGTAGCGTCGATATACATCCTTATGGAGGTCTTCCACTAGGAAATCCGGCGTTTTGAGTTGCTCATCTTGCTTCTTTTGCTTGTTGTTATTTTGCTTATTATGCTGCTCCTTGCTTTTTCCAGCAGTATCCTCCATACTTAGCAGGGGTGCTGTCGGTCACAGCTTGTATTGTTCTCGATCGATTTTAAGAGAAAGAAATGGGATCGACACATTGTGTTAAAAGCACGGGGAAATGCATCCGTCACAGTTCCTTCTGATAAACTGGAAACAGAACAATTGTATCRAGGAGTGGAATTGCCAAGATATGAGTTCACACGATTGGTGGCCAAATTTAGTGAGCAGTTGGTCTGTTGAAGTGGAGAGTGTCCGTTGTGGGACTGAAATCCGTTGAGTCAAAGTAGTCTTTACACGGTAATTAGATGGCAGCTAATCCACGCACACGTATAATTTAACCGTATAACTGTTTCAGTCTTGAACAGACAGTTGGGGCTGTAACTTTTTYTTCAACGGTCGCAGAAAGACAATAAGCACATGGTTGAAAAGAGAATTGAAAGAGCTTTCTAATGGCGTGGGRGAGTACGGCGTACGACGAATATTGACTGATATTCGTTTACGTATATCTTGAATTGCTAATGTACGGTTTAAATTTTGCGTGGCCAAGCCTATACGATAKTGCAGTGTTTGAAGTTGTTGCCCATGTCCTCACAAAGACTGTAAGGATTTGGTTGTGTCCTATGGTACAACACTGTTTGTTGTACAAATTGACCAGCAAGTTCATTATAGTCCTCCTCTCCCCAAGCTCCTCCAATAGCATCCAGTCTTTGATTCTTGGCAACTGTCCTTGTTTCATCCTTATTTCCCATTCTGACATCTGTCTCAGGAATGTTGAATCCAAAAGAAGAAGATTATCTTTTTCAGGGTCCTTGTTGTGTGTGCTCTTGATGAGAATATGCTCCTTTTCCTTCAGGGCAAAGGCAGAATCCACAAAAACCTTTGCTCCATTCAACAAGTCTTGCACTTCCTCAATCCTTTGGTAGATGGGATGATTGGAGATGGCACTATTGTGCCAGGCTCCAGGGGATTGGAGACTGAGATCCTGATCCTCCCATCAGGGGCAAAGAAAAAGACACTATCAATGAAGGTATTTTCTTTCCAGCTGTTGTAGAATGGTGGTCTCTGTTTAATTCACCAGTCTTCAGAGGATTGAATGGTGATATTCTTCAGTCCATCAGCTGTAGCCCAAATGCTCTCCAAGTCTTAGATCCTTGTTTCCAATAGCTTGAATATAATCATCCACTTCTCAAGTAGTTGGAATGCTGACCATGGCAAATGGATGTTTGTGAAGAACAAAGTGGAGCATTTTCCTGGAGAACTTGAGCCAGATGTACGTAAACTGTGGATATCAAGCCACACGCTATAGCCATTGATCAAGCAACAGATCCTCTAGTCCTGAAACAAGAATGGAGAACCAGCCTAACAGCACAGATTGCATTGACCTCCCCTCTCTTTCCCTTGGGTTCACTGGGATAATAAGGAACTACTACAATCTTGTTGTCCTTGTTGGCAGTGTACTTATTGTAAACTGGAGCAACTAGGTCAAGGAGCTCCCCAAAGACCTTGTTGTCTACACCACAACAGTTGAGGAGTGCTTGATCAAGCCCTGAGTAGAAGAGATGGTCAAAGGAAGATTCAGCATATATGCAGATTGCAATCCTAAGAATCCTCCTGTCCCCACTGTGTCTCTCTCCTGGAGATATTTTTTTAGATAACTTTGAGGTTGCTGGTCATTCAAATGAATGTCTCAGTATATCACGATGGTCTCCATGACTCTCATTGCAGCATTCCTTATTGTCACGAGGAAACTCTGGTCTAACAGTGGAAGGAACTTGCAAAAGTTTGATACTATTTTGAGCATTGAAAATGTGTGTGTTCCTTTTGCTATCAGTGGTTGTTGCTTCTTGTAGTAGTACTAGTATTCATGTAGGATAAAAAAAATCATGTTTTAAGTTCAAGAGTTGCGGGCGTGAGTCTTTTTAGTCTTTACTACGTTGAAGTATTCAAGGTTCCAGATTCATAACAAGACTGGGATGGAGTCAGCCTGTTAAAGAAATTTTGATTCCTGTTCTATTATAATTGCTAAACGTGCTAGTCTAGCACATTTAGCATTTCTATCAACAGGAATGACCCACTACTGCAATAAATTATCATTATTTTTGTACCATTGTAATTCTTTGGTCAGAAAAGATACAAAACTAAAATGCCATGATGTTCTCAGATGGTCGCCTCCTGCTGTAAGGGCACTTCGTTCGGAATCAGCGGTTGCTTTCTTTTCAGGGAGAGAAAAGGAAGAGTTGCCGAAATAATGTGTGGCTGTAGTTGCCTCTTACGAACCAAGTCAACATGAAACAAATGGATTTGTGTTGTAACTAAAGAGTCTTTTCAGCTCTGAGGTTTTTTTAAAAAATTAAATACGTCTGTCAAATGGTGGGTACAATATGCCGATGACGTTATGTGTCATACACAGCAGCAATCGAAAAYCTATTTGCGCCAGGCAGAATTTTGGGAGAAAACTTGAACGAACTTGTCAATCTCGTCTTTTTGCTGCTGGAGAATGCATTCTGTAATCCAAACCAAGTTACGGACCTCTTGCTCCTTTAGTTTGACATAAGCATAGAAGCAGCCAAAGTGGAATTGATTTTCGAAGGCCAATTCCAACTTCTGAACATCACGCTCGTAGAAAGCATCATCGATAGATTTATCTCCAGATCCGTTAGCATGAATCGACCAGATTGCTGCATAAGTAGGGAAAAGCTCCAATACACGTCCCATTTCATCTTCGTCAGCAACATCCGTCAACATCGTAGTTCCAGCGGGATACAAGTAGCCAACAGCAGGATACAAACGCTTGCGGTCGGTGGTACGCATGCCAGGCTCATTCAAAGGGGTACCAAAAGAGTTTAGGGTAATGTTAATTGCGTTGGTGTCCGCCCGTACCTTCAAAATATCACACATGATATCACCTGTGTCCCCTCCCAAAGATGCGCAGAACTGATAGAAATCTTCGAGCCAGAACTTGATCAAAGAAGACTTGATGATTTCGATTTCAACTTCTTCGAGTACATTTCGAGAACTGGAACCACGGTGTGCTGCACTCTCTTGCAAAAATTTCGAAAAATAAGGACCTACTGGTGTATCAACAAGAACGGTTGTATAGAGATCGGAATAACCCTTGGCACTGTTTTCGAAGGTGGGAATACTACGCATGGTAGAATCCTTGAACATGCCCAGCGGATGGCACTGTTCCAAAAGTTCGTTGATATCGCGTCCGCTCAAAGCCCCTTTAAGCAAAAGCATAATGTTTTCAATCATATATTCATATGTGATGAAGTCAAGGAACGTAGAAAGCGGTTCTACCGTTTGTGTTCTCAAATATTTGAATTCGGCAACAAGCTATTGCATCGTATCGTTTGGCCAGAAAAGGGAATCAACCGAAAGTGACGTCGTTAGATAGTATTCTTCAGTAGTCTATGGGCTCCCGTGTCATTCCTTTCCTTACAGGAAGGGAAAGCCCCTAGCCCGAAGCCTTAGGCTCAAACGAGATCGTCGTTTCATACAGAGAGGCAGTCCTTTTGCCACCACCGTCGAATGAAAATTTGTTCTTTCTAGCTGATCTCGCTAAAACCTACCTTTTCTACGGCAGCCTTTTGTAGCATGGCTGGCGTTAGCGAGTTGAAATCGGCAATGGCATCGGCATAATCAGTCTCTGTCAAGTTCAAACGGACATCCTCCAACGTTTCGCACTGGATCAAATGGTTGTAGTCCTGGTCACCTAGAAAGGACGATCTCATTCCTCTGACTAATGCCTCCGCGAATCCATGGCGGATGTTGAACGTAGTGAAATCACTGTTTCCTTGGACGGGTTTAGGGGTCGTCATTGTGTTGGAGTTTACTACACTATTCTAATACAAGGGAGCAAGTGGAAACTCTTCGAGACTCTTCGAGACCTCTTGCACGATACAGCAGAGTACGGTAATAGTAATATCTTCGTGTTTGTTCTCTCGTGCCCGTAGTAAGCCGAACTCGATACAAAATTAGAGATGGCAGCAACAGATAGTTTTTTACTCGTACTTTGTGTACAGAGAAAGCTATGAACAATATTAATTAAGACCGGATGAGGATGGTGAAGCACATTTCAACAAGACCGACAACGACCGTTTTGAGTCGGCATGGCCGGTCGCCAATGAGACTTCGCTAGTGCGCGCGTGCACACCGATAACACTTTTTGAGAGAGAGCTGAGAGATATTATTTCTACCGTACAATGTACCGTACGTACTGTACGGAACAGTAGAGGAGATAATTACGTCCTTCCGGTCCGCAATATGTGTCCCAATAACAAATGGAGATGAATATGCTCAATATTAGTAGGACATTTTGAATGGTTCCTTTTGCATTGAAATCATCATCCAACATCATTTTATGTATTATCCCTATTTGTATTGTGTAAGTGGTAAGATTGGAATACTTGCCCATCTTTTTTGCTCAGAGAAGTAGTAGTASTACTACTAGACAGAATAGTACTACTAGTACTACTAGTAGTAGTACTACTAGTACTAGTAGCTGCTTATTGTCTGTCGATGGTAACGAATGTTGGTACTTCAGGAGGTGGGGAATGAGCATATGCGTCTTTTGCATCACCAGCATAGAGTTTATAGTTGAGGATAGCGGTAAGAGCAAAGAACAATTGTTGTACTGGTTGTTGTTCCACACATGAGGAGTAGGCGGATGCAATTGCGTGGAGTAATGGGGCAGCACGTTTTGAGCCGTCACAACAATTTTGGGATTRACGTTTGCCCATTTTTTGAACTTGGTATTGCCAATGAGGTTGCAGTAGAATTGACTTTGGAGGTTGTGGTGTTGGTTTTCCATACATTTCGAGGTCGTGGAATTGATCAAGTTGTTTGCATTCTGCATGTAGCCATTCTTGCCAATTATCAAGTTTCTTGAGTTTCTGACATGTGAAATGGCCAAGTGCCTCTTCTTCCTTAGTAGCCGTTTGCAACATAAGGGCATTGATTGTAAGTTGTATCATTTTGTCAGAGACAAGGTGAGATGGGACATGAAGACCTGTACCTCGTAGTGTGGTGATGGCACATAAAGCTGCGTAATTGATTTCGGCAGTGGTGTTGAATTTGTCTGTTGGTGCATGTAAGTTGTATTCATCAACTTCTTTCCATCTTTGAATACTTGTAGCTTTGGCAACTGGAGCAAATTGAACGTTGAATGTGGTGACACCATTTTTGGCCAATGATTCAAGTATTTCAATAGCTGATTGTTTGCTGAAGACAGGTTGGTTATTGATTGTTACAATAAATGCACTGCGGACTTTATTTCTTGTACTTTGCCAATTAGAAAACATGGATGTGGCACTTGATTTCTTTGTGATATCTTTCAAGAAGGCACGGCCATTTAGTTCATCTTCATCGAGTTGGAGGCCAAAGGTTGGACTGTCACACTTGACACAAATATCTTTGGTGAGTATATCTTCTTGGAATGGCAACAATATATAGAAACAGTAGCATTCAGAATTGTGTGAGATATGTCTTTTYAATCCTGCTGCAACATATTTGACAGCAACTTGAGTAGTTGATTGAGATTTATAGCCTTTGACCTTTGATTTCTTCCCTTCTAGTTCCCAACACTCACCGCAGTAGAATACAATAGGGGTACTAATTGCAGGAGGCATGATGATAGTGCTAGCAGTAGTAGTACAATGCACAGTACCAATAAAAAGAGTGAAGGAAGAGGAGAAGATTAGCAACAACAGCAGAACAAAAATTTGTTTTGATGCAACAAAAAATATTTTATTTGCTGTTGCTGTATGGAAGGAATGATTGAAGATTTAATACAGGATGAGTTTAGCTTGAAAGGAACAAGGATTGGAAATGATTTCCCTGTACATATCCCTAACCTTGAAAGAGGTAAATTTACAAATAATCTTCATTCCAATTGGTCAAATCAGAAGCTTTTGGAAATTCAGGTGATTTAGAGGACAGTAACTTTCTACAATTAGATGACCCTGAATTGTGAGGTGTATTTTTATAAATTTGTTAGTCATGCAGCGGCATTTTTTTTTTCTAAAGGTGCATGTTCTCAAAATTAGTATTGTTGCAGAACAAGGTTGGAAGAGGTCCAGAAMACTCTCTCGGATGCTGAACATGATGAGAGCAAAGTGATTGTTAGGGCAGTTTATGGGGGGCTAGTATCTGATGTACGGGTAATATTGAAGGATGTTCAAGTCTAAAAAGAATCTTAATATTATATTTAACTTTGTGAGCTAGAAGAGGCACTATATGGCCAGAACCATAGCTTTTGGTGGAAAGAATGCTTCTAGCTGCTCTGAGGGGTGGCACTTCCATCTGAGGAGTTTTAGTGGAAGTGCGACCAGGGGTTTGTTTCACTGGAATTAGAAGAATTGATTTAACTTGGTTTGGAGTAAACTGGAAGAATTGACAGGAGGAGCCAAAGAAGTATCTGGCACGACAGGTTGTTTGTGTTGCTTCTTTTTGGAGTATGCATCAAAGACCACCAGTGAATCTTGTGTGACACTCTATGGTGGTTGTTTACTATGAGGCATTGGCATAAAGTACTGGGTAATAGGGCAAGTGTTGGAGACYGAAGCACTCGTGGCTTGATTGACACTTGCCAGAATTGTTTTCTTGTAGACTTGATGGTAATATGTGAGCATGGAGGTAGGTGTAGTCAATAAGAAGGTTTCCATATCCTCTGGGGGGAATAGGTAGGCGTGGGACGGACAGGTCTGTGATTTTAGTAGTTCAAATMAAGTCCAAACTTTCATCACCACCTGCTGGCGCTGCTTTGCTTGCTTATGAGAAAGTGTGTAGCCATGGAGATCCTTATTTTGCTGCTCCCATAATGATATATAGGAGGTGAGAAAGAATTCCACAAGATAGCCCCCTAACACAAGTGGGGAGTGAGAACTGGAATGAAGATCAAGATCAGTAAACCACTGGAGCAAAATGTGACCAGCAAAGGACATTCAAGTCTATAAAAGGTACAAAAGCATAGGAAATTTTTGGGCACAACATACTTCAACAATATGTTTTCCTAGTACTAGCATAAGCAGCAAAATTATTTTAAAAAGTGTTTCTAAAGAGGTGAAGTATGATGAACAACAAAAAACTCAATAACATTGTCACTATGTATTGTAATTGGTGTTCACACAAATCTACAACTTCAGTCATTGTTTTTGGGCCCTAATTTTACATWATGACTACTTTGACAAAAATACTGATACCTACTACTACTGGTAGTATATTTCCAGGTGCTGAAATTTGAATCCCATGAGTCATCTGACCAAATACTAGTAGTTTTGTGTACACATGCTCACTGTCTTATTTTGGCTTGAAATTTTTAATCCCATCAGTGAATACATGGCAAAAAGAAGGCCAAAAATCCACACACAGTACAAATAACATATGTAGAAAATTAACTAAGGGTCAACTAGTAAATCTAAAAGCTTTATCTTGGTGGTCCCCATTAGTCACCTATGAGAGATCATAGCCCCCACAAAGAATCAGAAGCTAGTGAAAAGAGGAAGATACTAGTAGTAGTCATATGACAAGGAATATGATGTTATTCATTATTCAAATGTATCAGACAAGACTGGATATTGAATGTGAAAAAATTACAACTACTAAAATTGTGCTTTTCTTCCAGAAATGCTATACAATAAAAAGGCACAGGAACACTCATTCCAGAAAACTTTAGACAGCCCCCACTCCTATCACCAGGAAACAACCCAGGAAAAAAAGGAATACTTGTGCAGAGGCTTGTGAAGCATCACTGGAATTTGGTGTTGCTCTGAATGGTCAAATCTTATGCCAAATCTACCAAAATCACTGAACCAAGTAGCATTTGACAACCTCTGAAGCTGAACAAAGCAAATGAAAGGCCCTGGTGCTCTCTACCCAAGGAAAGGGACTTGCAACAAAAAWTTTTGCAGATTAAAAAACAAACCAAACTTGTAGGAGCCTGGTCTGTTCAAGAAGTCAATTCAATTATGTTATTCCTCATATGGTTGGCTCTGTCCTCCTATTTCTGTTGTCTGTCTTTCAATTTATGAAACTATTGCTGGTTTGATCGGCTGGTATGTTTCATACACCGAACATCATATTTATTGAAACTTCAGCTTGTACTAAGCATTTTTTTTGGGAGTGATATAGTGACTGAATTCATGTGATTCTTTCCTGCTGTTAATCAAAATTCAAATGTTGAAGCCAGAATTGCCTACTGGACATTTATGTGAGAATTTTGGTTACTACACATGATGGCATTAACATGTGGTTCACAAGTTAATTTTTGTCAAAGGATGAAAGGCAACACAGTAGTACTACTAGTAAGAATTTTCTGACTTTACATGCAAAGGGAGCAAAGCTTCCTCCTTTCCCTCTAAAAGCTGTAGACCAGTATGGGAAAAGTTGTTTGGGTCACAAGGTATCAAAGGACTTAAAAGGGTGTACAACTTTGCTACAGGTTCATGTTTTATAGCTTTCAACCTCTACTACAATGACCCCTATTTTATTTGTTTCATCATTACTGTTCTCTGCTTTATAGTTCCAGGACTYTTTATACAATGATCCTGCCATCAGATGCTGGTATTCATTTTTCTAAGTTTTCAATGRTTGCCCATCACATGTATGTTGGTTCTGGCTTATGTAGTTACCCTTTTTGTAATATGCATTAAAGGAAATCTTGTGTGTTCTATGAAGATTGAGCTACATGGTATTTCTAGCAGTGTTTTGGTACATATTGCACTATTGCTTGAATAAAATAAATCAATTTAGTACAAAACCTAGTTTGCATAGTAGTAGTATGTTAAGCTTTGATAGCAGTAAAAAGTGAGTTTGAAAGCCAATAGGTAAAATAAAAAATGCTTTTCTCTACTACTAGCAGCAGCAATTTTAGGTGAAGATAAAAACAAGAAGCTTCCTTGTGTCATGGTTCAATTTCTAATTGATTTAGTAATTTGTAATGAATGTGCAGACAAAAAATCTTGTGCTGAAATGCTGAGTCAAGAACAAATAGCTCATCATTTAGGCTAGCAGTTCTTGTGAAAAAGACCACCCCCAATCTCCTGCTGGTAGTCCCAATTCCAAATATTTGGGTTTCTTGATACCTGCTTGTACAATTTTGGAGTAAGAAGTTGTAGCCATTTTCTTTCTCACGGAAACATGCAGTGAYACTTCAATATAGTGATTGAAGCCTTTGAATAGAACAGCCACAACCATAAGCACAACCACCACCACCTGGCATGCATCTGGACAAATAGGTCATTGGTACAATCAAARTGTGCAGTATTTAGTAGTCAGAAAAACCACCAGTACAAGAAGTTATAGTCACTTCCCTCCCACACATGTACCCAAATAACTTCATTATAATAAGAACAAGCAGATCCAGAAATTGGGAATAAGTGGGCATGTGATGGACACGTCTGTGGTTTCAGTTCAAACAGAGTGTGGACTTTCATTAGTGCTTGCTGTGGATGTTTGACTTGCTGCTGAGAAAGAGTGTGGCCATGGAGATCTTTATTTCTCTGTTCCCATAATGAGATACAAGAAGTAAGAAGAAAGAACTCCACAAGATAGCTCCCCAGCACAAGTGGGGAGTGAGAGCTGGAATGAAGGYCAAGATCAGTCAACCACTGGAGTGAGACATGACTGGCGAACATGTGRCGCCATCAAATTTCACTCTGGAAATGAATAACTGGATGAAGGGACACAGGATATGTCTCTAGGGAAACTGTGCCAGTGTCCAGCCATTTGGTAAGACAATTAGGAAGAGTGTCAGTGGCAATTGACTGGAATCCAATGCTGGACATTTGTCGTCCTTGCAGGGAGGCGATGGTCTGTCATCRTCATCTGATGCATGAAAGGGGGAGAATATCTAAAGAGATGCTTGGAATCTTCTAACATCTGGCAAAGACAACAAGTGTCATGGGTTTGGTTGTTTCACTTTTTGAGTGCAGATATTGGCAGTGGGCAGCATGTGGTTGCAACATTTGGTGACCAGGACATTCCTGGATATACAATTGATGGCAATGCTTAGGGACTTCCAGGCAATATCAACAATGACATGTGATGGCCACTGGTTTCTGTCTGCCCAGTATGCATGGTATCAGGGAATCAAACAGGAGTCTGCAAGAGCTCTCTTATATTGGCTTGTCACTGAACGGGATTGGATCTGAAGAACCACTGGACATGATGGTAAAACCAGGGTGATGAAATAGGGCGTTGTCAGTTGTGCTTGAAAGGCGCCAGCATAACCGTCAGCTTCAACATTCAGCTGGGCTAGTAGAGGAAGATGATCAAAATCAGTGGTCTTATCCTGGTGTCCTTTCACCCAAGAGAAAGAGTAAGTGATGGATGGATTCTGAATGGCTTGAAAGGTCTGTTCAATCAGATCAAAGTCTGGTGCCATGGTGCCATTTGCATATACTTCTGTGTATTCAAATCTGGATTGGATTCTCCTTGCTATCACTGATAAAAGTAACCTGTGTTAGGCAAGCTGTTGTGGTGCCAGAAGATGAAGATGAACAGGTACTTGCATCAGAAGAGGTCRGGGATGAAAGATGGTGATGGTTTTTGCTGAAGGTGCAGATCATTCAGGTCACTGATTAACTTTCGAAAGCTTTCCTTTTMATTCCCAGAACTGGAATGATTTAGAGATTTTCTGTGAATCTGGGAGGGCAGTGGAGATAGACATGGAAGATTGTCCTCATCAAGTGGGGAAGTTGAATGTGGCTCTGCATGACATCCATCAGAAATTAACTTATCCGTTGTGGACTGGACAAGTTATTTTCTGAGGCATTTGCATGTGCACTGGTCTCAGTACTGGAAACGCAACCAAGTCATTTTGTGACCCTCTACTAGTTTTGATCTGCAAATTCTAAACTAGTCTAAGTGATTGCAATTGCACAACACACAGTTCTGAAATTTCCAAAGATTCATGTTCATGTCTATTCTGATTCCACTTCGGAAACGAACTTAAGCTACTAGACACTGAAAAGCTACTCCATCTATTACTACAATATACTCACTTGTGGGTTACAAAAACCCATCAAGGAGTGCGTTGGCATGTTCAGAGACTGGCAGGGTATGGCGTGTCCAAGGGCTTAGCCCTAACGTACAGAACTAACCAGTTTTTCATTTGCGTCCAGTGCTAATCATACCGCGATTATTTGTTTCTCTAGACTCATGGACATCATTTTACCCTGCGCCAAGGAAACCCGATCTACGCAAGTTATCAGTCATGATGATTGTTCGCGTTGAGTCTAGCACGAATTCCACTGAAAGTCAATCGAAATGGAAGAAACAATAGGGAATTAGTGTCTGACAGGAGGAGTGTCAAAGATCCGAAAGATACACTAATGTTATCGATACTTACTGTTGGTAGTATCGGTAGCAGTGCACGCTTGAATAAACGAATCAGTCATTTCATCATTGATCAAGCACTCCTTGAACTTTTCAATGAAATAAATTACGCCGTTGTTGAAATCGTTCGGAGGGCCAGCATAATCTGCAAAAGGCTTTTGTGCAGCAATATCACTGTACTGAAGTTTTTCTTCGAATATATCCCTCTTGTTAAGGAACAGCAGCACAGATGTGTTGGCAAATGCTCTATTGTTGCAGATTGAACGGAAAAGTTCCAGCGCTTCAACCATTCTATTCGTTCTCTTCGATTCGGCAAGATTCTGATCGTACTCTGACAGAGCAGCAACGAATATAACAGCATCCACAGAGTCGAAGCAGTCAATCCATTTACGTCTTTCTGATCGTTGACCTCCTACATCATACATCTCAAAATCGATTCCGTCAATCCGATATCGTTCCATATTAACTTGGGTAGTTTTTACACGTGCAAGCAGAAGGTCCTGCTGCGTGGGTTTAAATGACGGTGATGCGATTCGATCAACTGAATCAAGGAACTCTTTGTGGCCATCGATAATATTTACAATCGAACGTTTTTGCCATACTTCTCTCATTAAATTGGACTGCGGTATGAAATAGAATAAATCAAAATAAATCAACGCATTTATATTAGGTGAAACTGCTTTCCCTTGTAAAGGTAATCATGACACTCCTAGATTCGAATCTGCAAAAAATCAAAAACGAGCGCAAAAGAACCGAGACTTACCTGCCATAAGGTTTTAATTGGTTTCCATATTTGTAAAAACATTTGAGCGTCGTTATTTGGTCCCAATCCAGCTGTTGCCAGGTGACCAACCCAGTCATTAGAAAGATCAATAGGAGTTAAGGGCGGAGCAGTACCTTCTATCAAATGGGAAACTAATAGTTCAAATGCCTCAAATGGAGTCATGCCATCTTCAGCTCCTTCAGCTGCCTCTTCTTCCTCGAGATCGTCCTCAAGCTCTAGCAGTCTGATTAGCTGACACAGTTTCCTCGTGACTGTGATACAATTCGATCTAATAACCACACCAAACATCCGCAAGTCATCGTCTGTTCTAGGGGTACCGTATATGATTCTCATTTGTTTGAAAATCGTCGACTTCCCAGATTCTCCGGCGCCCAGTAACAACAATTTAATTTTAAGTTCATCCTTTCGCTGCATTTCCTCCATGGCTGCACCAATCTTCTCGTCCTCTCTGACCTGCGCGACAGTAGGGGCCACAACCCCCGCATCAGATGATGCACCACATCCCATGGTGAAACGGGTTGTGTCTCAAGGTAATTAGTAYGGATTGCTTGCTTCTATCACTACGCAGTGGCACTGGTATCTAGTCCTTGATATGCTTCGCGATTTGCTTGCTATCTGTTGCAGCTGAGCACTCGCTTGCTATCTGTTACAGCTGAGCAGAGAGTAGAAGTACATTCCAGTACCGAAGCTTTGATCCTCTTCGTACGGCATGTGAGAGGGTATTGGTAGTATCTGTTTTTCAACTTTTCGTACTGGTACCACACAGTACTACAATTGCTTCGTCTCTCGTACCTATTGAAGGGAGCACAAGATCGGCCACACGAAAGTGCCTGGCTGTCGAATTTTCGCTGGTATTCTCCAAAAAAGGCAATCAAAAATCAAAAATCATGTCTTTGAGACACTACTACGACATATTGATTAACAAATATGGTTCATATATATATYAATGACTGAATAAGGTTTCCAAAGTCCGCGAGCGCGCATAATTTCAATTCTTGTCTCGGATCATCTCAACATCAACCGTCCCATGACAAAATCTCCAACTGTTCCGAACGTGGAAGCTACGCTGACCTTAGGGATAACGTACTACAACTGGTACCGTACAGCACGGTTCTTGTAGCAAGCGTAAGCAAACTGAAAGAATACGCGACCAGCGAAACTCTGAAGAAGTGAATTCAGCAACACATGGCCGAACGAAATGAAGTACTTCCTCCGTCCCAAAATGAGAGTCCYCTAGTAGTAAGCATTGCCATACTAATCTTGTCCAATAGCATTTTTATGTCCTATCCCTATTAGATTGGTACTGATAGTATAATTGGAATGAGCCTTCAAACAGAGCCTTTAAATCATGTCATTTTGACTTTTCAGGTTGAACAAAGAAGATGAAGGAGGGTTCCAGCAAGAACAGTCATTCTTTTGTTGTGCCGCTAGTACTAGTAGTACTAGTACTGCTACTAGTACTAGTAGTACTAGTACTGCTTGTTGCATATGAGGACGAGGATACTAGTAGTAGTAGCCAAGAAAATAAAGTACTTTTTGAGGCAATGCTTCTCTATATAAATGACTTTCTTATATTGGTCATTCTTGTCCAAAAGAGGTGCATTGTACCACTGTCAACATTTTGTTTGTTCCCTTGCTTGTTGTTAGTACTAGTAGTAGTTGTACTACTAGTACTAGTACTAATAATTTTTAATCACATGCATGCTCATTTTTTCTATGGTCATACTGATTCTAGCTATGTGTTGCTATATCATTGGTGGTTCAATGAAGCTATTGTAAATAAGGGGATTTCCAAACAGGGACAACAAATGGATGGTCATAGTGCTGGGAGGGAGGAAGTAACAACAGATTCATCTTCTACTAGTACTAGTGTACCAGAACTAAAATTAAACTTCATTGTTCGCTGGCATTATTTTGATACATTTCAAGTAAGAGATGAATTGGGTATCACAGGAGGGGATATGGYGGAAATCATCAGCATGATAAACTTGGAGCTAATCTGCAGTGGTCGTGGTCCTATGCACATGAAGATTGTGATGGTTGCATTTCTYCCAAAGGGACACAAAGAACAGTTGGGCTGCTGCTGAAGTTTATATCTACCAAGAAGGTTTAGATTTACTACTAGGTGTCACCTATGGTACTAAGGTTGTTAAAAAAATCTTAATATTATATTTTACCTCCTCGTGAACTAGAAGAGGCACTAAGATGGCCAGAACCATAGCTTTTGTTGGAAAGTATGCTTCTAGCTGCTCCRAGGGGCGGAACTTCCCTCCGAGGAGTGTTGATGGAAGTGCAACCAGGTGTTTTGCTGCTGGATTTAAAAGAATTGTTGTAACTTGGTTTGGAGTAAACTGGAAGAGTTGACAGGAGGAGCCAGAGAAGTATCTGGCACAACTGGCTGTTTGTGTCATTTCTTTTTGGAGTAYGCGTCAAAGACCAGCAAGGCTTGTGTGACACTCTCTGGAGGTTGTTTACTATGAAGCAATGGTGTAAAGTACTGGGTAATAGGACGGGTGTTGGAGACCAAAGCACTCATAGCTTGAGAGACACTYGCCAGAATCATTTTCTAGTAGACTTGATGGTAATATGAGAGCATGAAAGTAGGCGTCTGCAATAAGAAGGCTTCCATATTTTCTKGGAATAGGTGGGCATGGGACGGACAGGTCTGAGATTTCAATGCAAATAAGGTCCAAACTTTCATCACCACTCTCCTGCGATGYTTTGCTTGCTTATGAGAAAGTGTATAGCCATGGAGATCCTTGTTCCGCTTCTCCCATAATGATAGAGGAGGAGGTAAGAAAGAATTCCACTAGATAGCTGCCCAAAACTATGGGAGAGTAAGAGCTGGAATGAAGATCAAGATCAGTATTCCACTGGAGCAAAATGTGACCGGCAAACATGTGTTGCCACCCAATCTTGCTCTGGAAATGAATAACTGGATGAAAGGATACAGGATATTCTCTGAAGAAACAGTGCCAGTGTCTAACCATTCGGTAAGACATGTAGCAAGAGTATCAATGGCAATTGGTCGGAAGGATGGTAAGGTTCTTAGTGCTTTTACTACTAACAGTGTCATTGGAATTTACTAGTAGATATGTTCTACAAGGAGCCGTGAGCCATACACTGCTGGGCATCTGAACTAGAAGAAATAGTCTTTGGTCCACAGCTGTTAGCTAGTACTACTAGTACAATGGTTCCAGACAGGTAGATTATGGTGATATCAGCAAAAGTGATGTAATCTGAGCAAAAATGCTACTGATGCRTGATGTATTGGAATGATGAAGCAATTTCTTGCCTTTTTCCTATTGTTGACACTTCAAGCCAAGTGGAATTAGGATTGTAGGCAGGCACCACCAGGTTCAAAGTGAATTGTTGTTGTTGTTGTTGTTGTTGTTGTTGTTGTTGTTGTTGTTGTTGTTGTTGTTGTTGTTGTTGTTGTTGTTGTTTTTGTTGTTTTTGTTTTTGTTTTTGTTTTTGTTATTGTGCCAACAACATGAAGAGAATCTTGTTCAAATTGGTCTTCAGCAGTGTATGCATCCATCAATAGCAACTACTAGTAGTAGTTGGAGATCCATCACACCATCTATCAACATTTAATTGTTGAAATCATGTTGASAAAATAGTCATACAGGTTTGGTGCATCACCAGAGATAGTCTCATGATCAAAATTAGTAGCCACCCTCTGTGATTATGAGAAATCAGTACTGTGATATGTATCATAAAATTAGGGAATTCCCACCAAGCAGAAATAATGGAGGGTTAGCTAATGGATTCACATTGCTTGTTAGAGATCATCAACTACTTTAAAGAATTGACTGACAACAAGAAATGACAGCAACTTGGTAGGAATGAATTGATTCATAATGATGTTTTCTTGAAATATATTTTAATAATTTGGTGACAAATCAGGTACATCCCCATATCCCAAGAATTGGATTGGGATGAGAGAAGTTAGAGATAATTAAAAAATGACAAATCATAAAAGAATCCTCAAGTAGATTTTAGGGGGGTTCAAAGTTCTTGTAGATTTAAAGCAACCAGCTCAAACTACAGCAACTCAAGCAACACATTGCTACCAGAATAGATAACCTTAGTAAAGCTGACAACAAAATGCTGATCCCACAAAGATATTGCCAAAACAGATTTACTCTAAATCTGGCAAATTGTCTTTGTTTGCTCAACACGATGCCTAGTATTCTGTCAATTGAAAAATCAAGTTGAAAAGGTTATCAGAACAACTGCATATAGTATTACTTTCATCATCAGCTCCATTTCTCTCACAATAAATTGTAAATTCAAAAGGTTATGGAAAGAACAACATATCGACCGGGAGAGATTAAAGAACATACGCAAGGGCAAAGTTTTCCTAAAGAATACGAAGTAATACTGTCACTTTGTCATTCGCAACTCCTCCAAGAAACTCGTGCTGTTGTGTACCGTGCTTCCTCCCAATAAAACTTGAAACTTCCCCCGGTGAACTTGATTAAACTCGGCGATTTTGTTGCCCTCCTCATAGGTGATACCGCCCACCATGAACACAATGATTTCATCGGGTACCAAAGTTTCTGGAGATACACCTGGAACTGTCTTGATCGACCCTGGAACGAAAGGGTGTGTCTCTTTTCTTAATTTTCCTTTTGTTATGGATTGTATCGTATCCATTAGAACTGGGACGTGCTGCGCATAGACATTTTGAACTCCTTGAACACTAGTCATAAATGATTTCGTCAAATTGCTCATAATGTTGTTTGGATCTCCGTACAGTCCAGGACCTCGAGATTTGCTGCCGCCGTACCGAAGAATGACTGGTAATAGATTGACCATATCAGGAGGGACACCGCCCTTCTTCATGGCATGCTGTACCATGTTTATATTCCCAGACGTTTCGTAACGGAGCGCATATAAAAGACCAAGGCGTAATTTGTCGGGTATTTTTACACTTGGTGAATCTAATTTCTCCATGAGTTCTCTCCAATGCGCCGTATGATCATCAGCACATGCAAGTTCCTGCTCAAATTGGGATACATCCAACAAAGAACATACATCTACAAGTCGCGCTAACTCTCCCATGATTGCAACGTGCTTTGAAACGTTGTGCGATCGTGATCGCAGTTCCGGGAATTTCTCCATGAATGCTTGCATGTCTTCGATGGTATTGAGGWTAGATGTATTATGCTGCGCAGTTTGCTTTTGATAATCTTGCAACAGTTTCTGAATATTCTCTCCCAATTCTCCGAAATTCTTGTGTCGGTTTTCACGAAAGAAATCGTCTTGGCACGAACTGAGCACCACCTCCTCCAAATCTTTCGCAATATTGGGAGCACCCTTGAGTACAACTCTGTGATTATTCAGACCCAGCAGCTCGTGTACCATGGCTTGATACGTCCATTGGCTCAATAGGGGCGTTACAGGATCGTCTCTTCTATCCAATACTAACAAGAGCGCTCCTGCACTATTTCGTCTCCTCTTACGGAAGTGGAAAATCTCGTCTGTCGATATCGCATCAAAAATATCCTTGGCAAGTTCTTCGGCACATGCCGATTGCCCTGCATATCGAATACCTGCTAGTGGTTGTCGTTTGAGAGCTAGCAACATGCCCTGAAGCCCACGAAGGTTGCGTTCGTATAAGTGGGCGTATTGGGGTGCCCATGATGTCCCCGCAGCCATTGACATCGACAGGGTATTTCGGCATTGCAATGTTAACAAGTCATCATTGATGGGAACAAAATCACCATAAAACTCTTGAACTTGCTTCACTCGTTCAGTCATATCCGATTCGGCTAGTAATCTCAAAAGGCCCTGAGTAAGGATTCCACTAAAAAAAAAGTGATACTCAGAAAATCGAGGTTCCTTCAGCTCCCGCACTAGCATTCCAACACTCGCTTCCGTCGGTCGGACGAAACATACAGCCTTGAGGTGCGAGGACTTCCCAGAAGATTGCTGTTGTTTTTGCTGTTTGGTGTCGTCTAACCGGGATACCAGGTATACATCGCTACTCAATATTTCAGTTTGCGAATATACAGCGGAGACGATTTGTGTCGTAGAAGCGTCTAATAACAACACCTTCATTCCTCTGCACTTGCCATCTCCTTCTACCATCCGGTCGATATACGTCCGGATGGCTTTGATGCCATCCATGTCTTCGTCGGTGTCCATTTCTTAAAGGTTCTGCTTTCTTCACAGCTATTGTACATTGTTATTGCTTGACGCAAGGTAATGTATTGGGAAACAAAAGACACTCGTATTGTCGAAGATTGAGTCTTACTCTCCGGTTCGTACTCGTACTGTAGAGTCTCGTACTTGTGATCGCACTGGCACTTTGGATCGATTTCAAAAAATACTTTCCGTACCGGTACTACAGGTACCCGTACTAGTACGAGTAGCGCGTATTACTACTRCGCAGTATTCGTACTCTAATTCAATTGCAGATTCTACGAAGTACGAGTACCGTACTGTACTCGTGCTGTTAATTTTATTCGTACAGTACMTGGTACGTACGTACCATAACAGAGGTATTTTTTGCTGTACGTACGTACAGTTTAAGTACCGTACAGTAAAGTAATGAGGCCTTTCTCATGAAAAATTCTTGCCGTTGTAGACTTTCGATTTTCAAAATGACCGACGTTGAATCGAATGAATCATTTCTCATTTCCATAACAATCCATTCTCTCTTCCGATTTTGAAATTAGTTGAACTAGTAGCTTTCATAGCGTATGAAGATACCCTATGGCTATTTATTATTTTATTATTCATATGAACCAATTTACCTTTTACTATTTTTTCGATTTGGCTTTAAATTAATCCAGCATACGCGTATATGACGGGCGTTGTTGATGTACCGTACAGCACAACCAAACTATACGCTGGGATTATTGTTGCGTCTTTTTGATCTAAATTAGGTATGTTGCAGCAACTGACGATGGTCCTACCATGACGAATAAGGTGACGAAATATCAATGTAATATTTACGGTGACCAAAAGCACAGAAAGAGGGTTCTTGATGGAGCAATCGGGAGTCGGAGGTCGGCGTACATATTTTTCTCAAGCCGGTTGTTGTCGGGGTGTTGTGCGAGGTCGACGTTGATACCTGTCATCAATAGTGGTGCAGCGGCTTGTATTTTAATAAATTCTATATATTTACAGTCACGTGAAGAAAGTTGAGATGAACACTTGATGATGCTTTCACGCCGTCCATTTGTTACGATGTCCCTCCGTCATGGCTGGGTGGACGAATTTGAAACCATGCTTTATCATCGTGCGATTGGAAACTATTTTTGATTCTAACTTTCCAACTGTTTTTTCATGATTTATTTTGAACGCTGCAGATATTATAGTATATAAAAATGGCAGAATCAAGAAAGCCCAATAAGCTGTACGCTACCCATCCTAAGGGATACGGAAAGGGATCCCGTGCGTGCCGAGTTACCGGACGTGAAGGAGGTATGGGACTGATCCGAAAGTACGGTATCAACATGAAGCGTCAAGCATTCCGTGAACGCGCTATTGACATGGGATTCCAGAAGTACAACTAATCGAATAAAGCAATTTTATAGAAAACTCTTTCCACCCCCAAGTCTGATTTTGTCAAACTTTTGATTCAGATCATTCCTGAGTGTTGATTTTRCTCGAATTATAGAATCTCGGCAGACGCCCCTCGTGCAAGATTGTATTCCACAAGTAGAGATTTTCTGAAGCGTGCTGCGAAAGATCGAATACAAGTCGTTACCGAGATGACAACAGAGAATATTTTTTGCTAGGTTCTGATGCAACTCTTTCACCTCACCGATCCGAGTTGCCAGTCATCGACGTTGCTGCCATCAAGTTGGTTCCATACAATTACYATGAAGTCGTAGACATTTCATAGCTAAAATCAAACTTGAAACATATTGGAGCATCAAACACACATGTTGTTGTTCTTCGCACGTCTAAGCAAAGCATCGCTTCAAAAACTCAACGAGTACGGTACTCTATTTTGATAGCTACAAAAACCGAAAAGTCAATACGCCATCCGAAATTGCAGAAATATTTTCATTGTTCGAAGATGAACTGACAGGAATGYAACGAAAGAAAAAATACGAACGAACACGTCAATTGTTTCTGAACTTATCTGCATCATGGCACTTCACGGGGTCCCCGACAAGTGAAAAAGGTCACGTTCTATGCCGATTCTTCGAAACGCGGTTTTAACTCTTCAGTCAGTATCCATTTTCATTATCCCATTTGATGCTTGGGTCCCTCCCGTTTCCGCTGCAGCAATCGCTGCCCCCAGTTCACCACTCCTTCCATTTTCACCGGGTTCGCTGTGAGGGTTGAAATAGCGAGTGGTGGTATGCGTCTTATTTGACTCTGGATTATTAATGGTCAATTCTTGGATCAAAACCGATGATTTCTCTTCTTCTTGCACCAGTCGCTTGATGTCCGTGACGTTAGCCATCCCGTTCACGGTAAGCAACGACGACACGATTTTCAAATGTCTGCCTGGATCCTCTGTCGTAGCTAATTGTTTCTTCGGACGGCTGTCRGGTTTTAGATATTCAACAAGCTCAACTCCATACGTCAATTCGACCACCAGATTGCTGTTGACCCGAGATTGCTTTGTAATTTTGACTTTTTCGTCCGTTAGTTCTATTGTTTGAATAGTATCCAATTCATTTTCTCCCTTCTCGTTTGCCTGAATAGCCAACTCCGGAACATTCAATGTCTCGAGGTAGCCTCTCATGGACCACTCGCCGCGAGTTTTGTCTAATATCCACATCCCTCCCAGAGAATCACGAATAATTGGTTCCGACTTTGGGTCTATCGTTGACGTCGCTGGTGCCGAAAGAACTCCGGCAGGGGAAGTCGAAGGAGGAGGAGCCACATCAGATACAGTCGTCAGCTCTGGTACCGTTTTGCTGTCGCTCGTGTCCATTTTATTGGAATCAATCATCGGACAAATGAGTATGGTAAGTGATTACGGTCATTCGTCTATCTCGGAACCGATTGATTCCCCACTGCCATCTTCCCGTTTTTGAGTCGTTTTGTTGCATCGTTGTAAGGAACGAAACCCCTACCGTACCTTGCACTGACTTCATAACGTACCGGAACGAACGGTACTGTACGTACAAACTGTACAAAACATCACTCGGAACATTACTACGATGTACGAAATGGGAAGTACGAACGAGTACCAAGTACCGTACTTCTACTTCTACTCCAGGAGCGATTACGATTACATTACTTGTACGTACGAAGAAGTTCGATTCCACCTGTTGCGAAGCATCAAGCATCGCCAATCAAATACAGTAGTACGAAGTACTTTAGTACAGTACTTTACTTCGTAATTGACTACTGTGAAATTTGAAGCGTACTCGTACCTTCAATAGATATGTAACATATCACTATGAGATTCTGGTTGCTTGAAGAAGTCATTTTATGACATCGAAGGCATTGAGAATTATTATGCCACTTGAATGATTGTTTAGAAAAGAGGAGTCATTTTCACGAGCACAACACGGAAAAGCGAATTGCTGATATCCTCCCCACAAGACCAATACGACTTTTTCTACCGCACTGTGCGAACCTCGGCATGAACGGTAACAACGACAAAGCGAACGGCACGATAGTTCCGCACCAGAAACTAGTACTCTTACGGCAAATCGAGATTACAATATTTAGTCTGTGGGAAGACAAAATACAAAATACGGTACAAGGGAACGTGCTGAAGTTAATCCCAGAGAGGAATAAGAAAGAACAAACTGCAACTCCCAATAATTTCCATAGATCTTTATCGAAACCAAGTTCAAAGCCTCCGAGTAGACGGTCATATGGAAACCAAAAAACAACATTGTTAAAAATAAGAACATTCAGAATGAACTTTCAGCGACCAAGAAGGAGTAGCCGGCGATATGCKGGCGACAGAGCCATCGGAACCGAGGCGGTTGCCAACCTTTCTAGTATGAAACAAAGAAGATCGGCAGATGGGACATATCTACGCCGGCGTTATGCAACTATTGCCGTCGGTCTCGTGGTGGTGATCGGTGTGATCATTTTTGCCGTGACTAGTACGAAGGCGAAGGACGAACTTCCAGTCAGCGTGGCGGAGATCACGGAAAAAGTCATTTCAGAGATTACACACAGTCACACGGATTCTTACGAATTGTTGACTAGCCAGAGTTATAGCGATGCGAACTCTACAATTGGCGTCAACTCTACACTAGCAGTTTATGAACACAAAAAGTCAGGCATAGATATTGTAACAATGATTCCCATTGATCCGTATCAAGATGCGACTTTTGGTATCAATTTCAGAACGCCTTCGGAAAGAGATGATGGGGCACAATATGTTGTGAAAAATGCTGTGTTGGCGGGCTCAGAGAATTACCCCGTCAAAGATCCCCTTAATCAAATGAAGCGTGGGTCTCTTCAAACCTATTCGGATTCTTGGATCGAACGAGATCGCACTTCGTTTGTGATGGCATCAAGAAACTTGGCCGACTTTCGAAACAATTTAAAGGTGACTGTCGATGCTGTATTCAATCCACTTTTCATCAAGGATGAACACAAATGGATATACCGTCAGGAAGGATGGAGGTTAGAATCTCCAGACAATGTCAATTTGCTCATCAGTGGGTAAGACAAATAATACTCTGTCCATAGTGTGACGGAGAGCTGCAATTTTACTTTCTTGTTTCGGATGATGTGAATTCAGACTAAATTCCAGTATGTAATATTCATCTCTCTCTGAAATGCACTCACCAATTTTCTACCTCTCCCCTCCCTACCTTTTCCCGTTCCTTCAGAAACGCATACGTGGAGGCCAAGGCAGCACAAATGAACCCGGAAGAGGTTATGATAAAACACATATATAGCAACCTCTTTCCGGGTCATGTATACGGCAAGAATCCGAAGGGAGAAGCTTCAGAAGTCGTAACAATGACGTACCAAGAGGTCATTGCATATTACGAAACCTACTACCATCCATCTAATGCACAAGCGTTCTGCTACGGTAGTCAGGAATTTATTGACGTCTGCTTGAACGAATTGGATGTTCAATTGAGTGAATACGAAAATAATACGTCGGTTGGAAATCATTCCCAGATACCATGGCAAGAGTTGACAGAAGTCGAGGAGCAAATTAAAAACATTACCTATCCCGATTATCAAGAACAAGTCGATTATCGTTCGGTCATAGCATGGATCCTCAATGACGAGCCTATGGACCTCCGTACCCAAATCGCTTGGCAGTTGATCTACGAGTTGCTGGCAGGCTCGAATACTGCACTTGTACCAAAAATTATTTTCGATTCCAACCTGGGGACCGATATTGTGACACACTTCCAGCATTCGCTTCAACAATGGGTCTTGGCACTAGGCGTGAGTGGTATTGAATCATATGAAGATGTAGCAACTGCTGATCGTAAAATCATGCAAGAACTCGCGAAGGTGGTCAGTAAAGGCTTCGACTCTGACGCCATGGAGGCTGCGATGCACAAAATGGAATTTAAATTTCGTGAACAGAGCCCTGATGATGTTCCCCTAGGAGTAAAATATTTTAGAGATATTTTGAGGAACTGGAATTATGGTCAAGCACCATTGGAGCCGCTGAATTCAGCAACAGAGTTCCTCAACCTGAAAGCGGAGATCCAAAATGAAGGCCAAGAATTTCTCTTGACACTCATGACCCAACGAATGATGGATAACAAACATACTGTATCACTAAGCCTCCATCCAGACACCAACTATGCCATTCAATACGAAAGAGTAAGTTGGAAATTGAGTTTGAAATAATACAATCTGATATTCGCAGCTGCGCTTTCGCTTACATCTTTCACTTGCATTATTTCCCTCTTTTTTACCATTATTTTTTCCTTATAAGCTGGAACAAAATTGGTTGGATAACTTGGACACCTATCTTAACAAGGAAGAGGGATTGAAAGTTATGTCGGAAACTCAAAAATTCAAGGAGATGCAAGAGAACGGCGATTCGGAAGAAGAATTAGCGAAGATTCCTCGTCTTGAAGTCTCTGAGCTCAACCAGACCATGTACATTCCTCCGTCCGATCTCATTAAGAATCTGTATGAAACGGATGTTACTGCGATCAAGCACAAACTACCTTTCACTAACGGTATTGCTTACGTGGACTTCTCCATTGACATGTCAAATATGGATTTTGATGATGTCGTTCTCATCCCTCTGTTTTGCCAATTGCTTCTAGAAGGAGGGACGGAAGTCCACGACGATGTTGAGATGCAACGGCAAATTGATAAATACACGGGGGGTGTAACCATTACCCCCATAATCGAAGAAATCGTTCAGACGGACGATCACGATTATTATTTGGTTCCAGATGGGAAACATTTTGTTACGAAATTGATCATCAGTGGATCTTGTATTGCGTCCGATACATGCCTACCGATGTTAATCCTATTTCGCCAATTTGTCTGGGATTCCAATGTTCGCAACAAGGAGAAAGCTATTGAAATTTTGGAGGCAAGAATTAACGAAATGGAACAAGATGTTCAAATCAACGGACACAAATATACGACCAGTCGTGTTGAGTCTCGGTACAGCCTTTCTGGGTTCGTACGAGAACAATGGTATGGTATTACACAATTAATGCAAATGAGAAGAGCGCTTGCACAGATCAAAGACAACTTTACTGAACTTGGTCTGCGTCTTGTCAAGATGCAGGATGAACTTAAGCGAGGGCATCACAACGGAATGCACATGTCAATCACTGGAGACCACGAAGCACTGACTGATATCAAAGGTCCATTGAGTAACTTCATGAAAAACGGTCTCCCGCTTGCCACACAAAAAACACCTTTTCCGAATTTTGCCGAAGAAGAGCACCCGTGGGTCCCCAAGGGCATGCATAGAGTCAAAGAAGAGTTTTCATCCGAAACTTCCAACCAAGCCTTCACTGTGCCTACTCGAGTTAACCATGTTGCTAAGGGCGGAATTCTGTACGATGTTGGTGAACGCATTCCAGGAGCCGACATGGTTGTTACTCAGTATCTTGGTGGTTATTACCTATTCAACGAGCTTCGCTTCGGTCAAGGAGCTCAAGAGGCGTGGTCTTTCTTAGACCTTGATTCAGGCGTATGTATATACCAAAGTGATCGCGACCCTGGTATTTTTAGTACCCTTGAGACCTACGAACATGGGGCAACTTGGCTTTGGGAACAGGTTCACAACGGAGAACTTCCTTTGGAAGCAAAGAGTGCCATAGTTGGTGCCATTGGCCGTATGGATGCCAAAATAATGACCGAACCCAAAAAGTTGGGGAGACAAGCGCTAATTAGTCATTTGAAAGAAGACAGACATGAGTTTAGACAACACTGGCGTAATCAGATCCTTAATGCCAATGCTGATGATTTTATGGCAATGGTCGAGCGTCTTGGATCTTGGGGACATCCATCGGTGTGCGTCGTGACAAGTCCTGAGGTTTACGATACAATTGATCAAGAGGACTTCGCAATTTCGAAGTGCGATTACTCTGGCTACCAGTGCTAAAAGAAAGACTTCTACCAAAAGAATGTCGTATCGTCGTTCCAACAACTACAGGGGTTTGAACCAGTGATTCATTGTATAAGTAGTTGTATTTTTTACTAGGAAATGCCTAAATTGTCTTTGAGTGATGGCGAAACKACTTTCATGCTTTCTTCCATTTGTTCATATAAMTTCTTGACATAGTGGGACTTTTTTTACCACAAAGTATCTTCACTTGTGTTGAGATTCATTTCTTTTGTACCTAGTTTTGAAGCACTGTATTGGCGATCACTAGAACAATTCATACAGATATGCCAATAATGTGGATCTGATTCAATTCATACGTGGTTATTCCTGTACAGAAACATCAACATTGCTGGCCTTTTCTTTGCATTAGAATCCATTCCACAATCGTTTTCATTGCTTCATCGTCTTCGGTTTCCTGAGGGAAACCGTGGCCACCAGYGTGGTAACATGATGATACCCCGAAACCCCCCTTTTGGAGAAGATCGCGAAGTTTCTCACCTGTAGCATTTGGTGCGATCTGGTCTTTTCTACCAAGCAAAAACAGAATATTTGGATTAGATCCTTTCCCACCATCGACATCTGATTGTTGCAATGATTCCAATTGCTTTGCATACGGATTAGGGAAGGATACGCCATTCATGATGTAGCCTCCAGGTGGATGATAGGGGGCCCGTTTCAATGCTAATAATGCCCCGACAAGAATAGCACCTTGTGAATGGCCAATCACGAGATCGAAATCCCCGTTTTCCCAAACTTTCAGGACCTTTGCCGAAGATTCTTCGAATCCTGTGTATTCCTTGGCGTTGAAACTACGAACACCTGGTGGCATGGTCCACCACGAAAAACCATCGTTTTTAACAAAGGGCGCTYGGACGGCTGTGATTTCTAGTTGGAGTTGTTCGTCGACATTGCTGTTAATCATACTGTCATGGAATGCCAGTGCTTTGTTTAGTGCAGTCAATCGTTTCGGAAATTCCTCCGCAGTTCCTCCACTTCCATGAAGAGCAAGCACCTTAAGTGGTTTGATGATAGAAGACTGTGTCTCCTCCATCTGAGAACACGGCAACGAGGAAGTAGACGAGAGTCTCCTCTGACCAAAAGGCTTGATAATGGAGTCTTTATTGACTGCCCCCGCAAACGAAGGGACGTACGAAGCAACCGACTTCGGATGGAAACAACCGACAAGGCAAAAACTTGTTCCAATCTTGCCTCGACCAATGAATCTCATCSCTAAAGGGATAATGCTGTACCTGGAATAGACCAGACTACCGGTACGATTTCTTTTGGACTTCTCTCATTTCGATAGATCCTCGAACAATTGTCCTCTCCTGCCCGACTGGAAATCACAATTTTTTTTGGCTTTTTCATTTTTTCTCGAAAAATTTCTGGAAAAAACTTCCTAAAAAAGCACCGTTTTTTGGTCACGACTGACGCACGATGACAAATGAAAACATCACAACATCATCGATCAGCAACCACCTTTTTTCTCTTGAAAATAGTGGAGCGGAGAGCATCCAGTCTTGAAATTCATTGGTATCCGTGTTGCGGTAGATTATAGAAAATTGTCGCACCTACCTCCTTCCAAATCAATTTGCGGCTGACACAATTATCGACAACACCTATAAATTAAAGCTACACCACCATTCAATACGAAAGAAAAATGGGATCTATGAGCAAGGTCAACGTCCTCATGSTGGGAACCGGTGAATACACCACTGGCTACGTAGGCGGGAAGGCAGCTGATAGCGACAAGGGTGCCGGTGTCGTAGCACTCACGATGTTCGATCTACGTCGCCGTCAAAAGGTCGATCGCGTGGGAATGTGTGGGGTTAATGTACGTCAATGCATACGTTCCTATTGCGACGGTAATGCATAATTCTACTCATGTAGCTATGCCAGGGACTGTTTTTATGTTGTGTGCAATCAAACTCATTCAACGTTTTTCTTCATCATCTCAGGGCAAAAAATTCCCGGGAATTCGCACCCACATGGAAAGAAACATCAAAGATGTATACAAGGACATGGATTTGACCTGTGACACATTTCCTGCAGATGATACAGTGGATCCCAAAGCTTATGAGGCTGCCGCTCAATCCTTCCAGCCCGGAGATGTGGCCGTTATCTTCACCCCCGATGACACACACTTTGATATTGCCTTGTCATGCATCGAGCGCGGAATGCACGTCATGGTCACAAAGCCAATTGTTCAAACCTTGGATCATCACTGGAAATTGGCCAAGGCGGCCGCGGAAAAGGGTGTCTTGGTCGGCGTCGAAGTTCACAAACGCCTCGATCCATTCTACGCCGATGCCCGAGATCGAGTCCGAGGTGGCTTGGGTAACTTTCAATACATGTACGCATACATGAGCCAACCGAAACATCAACTGGAGACCTTTAAGGCTTGGGCTGGAAAGTCGTCGGATATTTCGTATTATCTCAACTCGCATCACATCGATTGGAGTGAATGGACTCTTGCTGGAGTTGCGCGACCTGTTCGGGTGACTGCTACGGGTTCGACCGGAGTGGCCAAGGGTAAGGGTATGGACACRGAAGATTCCATTACGCTGACCGTCCAATGGCAAAATATCAATGATAAAACGTTGGGTTGCGCTGTGTATACTAGTTCGTGGGCGGCCCCAAAGTCAGATGTCCACAGTCAACAAAGATTCTTGTAAGTATCAAATCACGAAGTTGAAGAAATGGTTATTAATATGGACTTCATACCGGCGGTAAGGAAAAAATCCAGGAATGCAACGAAGAACTAACATAATATCCACTATTTTCCCGTTTTTCACAGTTTTATGGGCACAAAGGGCGAAATCACCGTTGATCAAGCTCACAGAGGCGCTTGTGTATCTACCGATGCCGCTGGATACGCATCCATGAATCCTCTTTTTATGAAGTACACACCCACGAATGGCATGTTCTCTGGTCAAGGGTGTTATGGAGTGAAGTCTTTTGAAAACTTCATCGATGCCTGCAGCAATATTAATTCAGGAAGAACCAAACCGTCGGACTATGACGACGGATCTCTTGCCACCGTCCACACTACCATGCAAGGGACAGCAATTCTTGAGGCGGGACGAAAGAGTCTTGATGCAGATGGGCGACCAATGGATATCCAATACGAAGACGATGCTAGTATGGAGCCTACCGGAATCAAACCTCATGAATTCGCGTGAGAGACAGCAAAAACAGGTATTTTATTCGAGGTAAAATTTTGACTTCGAGATAGTAATATATGATTATCATCAAAATCAAATTGGACAAGCATTACAACGCGCTCCTAAGGGTTGTTATGTAAACTGAGATGCCCTGGAGAATGCTATCCCTTGCGTAAAATAAACCAGCGTAGACGAATCACAATAATAATGTCGATTTACAACTCTTTTTTATTCTGCTGAAGTTCTTTTTCAACAAGCTGCATTTTAATGCCCGCAAGAAACAGATTGCTGATCCGGTAGCTTGTTGCAAATGTCGCAAGAAGCGACCCTATCGCGGCGGAGGTGGCGGGGGTGGACCTCTGCCTCTCGGTGGGGGTGGGGGAGCCCGCCGATTGGCACTGTGTTGAACAGCTCTACCGGGTGGAGGTGGCATAGAAGGTTTTGGTGGTGCCGGTGGTYCACCACCAGAGTACGGAGCAGATGGAGGACCTCGTGCCGCAACAGGTGGGCCGGGTGGCTGTCCGTATGCCGAGGGCGGCGGTCCTTGTTGAGGAGGAGCCTGGCCGTATTGTTGTTGTGGTGGCGGCGGTCCTCGTCCTGCCATAGGTGGGCCGGGTGGTTGTCCGTATGCCGAGGGCGGCGGTCCTGGTTGAGGAGGAGCCTGGCCGTATTGCTGTTGTGGTGGAGGCGGTCCTCGTCCTGCCATAGGTGGTCCTGGCTGAGGAGGAGCCTGCCCATATTGTTGCTGTGGTGCTGGAGGTCCTCTTCCTCCCATGGGKTGAGGAGGAGGCGGTTGCCCGTATGCAGGTTGTGGCGGTCCTGGTTTCGAAGGAGCCTGGCCATACTGTTGGCGACCAGGAGGTTGTGGTCCGCCTGGAGGACCCCCACGGTGTTGTGCCATGGGATCGCGTCCTTGCATTTGAGGGGCACCTGGAGGAGCTGGTCCACCCGGTGCTCCTGGCCCGGCATTTGGATTCATAACAAAATTCATGAAATCTTCGTAGCTAAATGTTCCACCCTGGAAAGAAGCCCTATCTTCAACCATAAACCAGAAGAAGCGGGCTTCCGCATGTAGATCGCCCTCCTTCACAACAAAAATCTTCGAACTGACAGAATATGGATCTGATTCATCCTCTCTCAACGCCGAAATAATTGTAGCAATTCGTTCCGAAAACTTACCACCGCCCTCCAAATTGAGCATGGGGTCAACATTCTCCAGAGACGGAACACCAAACAATTCATTGACATAGTTTGGATCGGTTTCTCTACCGATCCACAAATAGAATTCGACTCCGTTATCTACAAGATAGATACCATCACTAGACAGCGAGTCGATCGTCAAAGGAAGTGCACTGGGTAGTAGCACACGATTGCGGCCAGCGAAGGAATCATCGACGGCGTCATCTGTATCCCTTTCGGATGGGTAGCCAGCATTTGGTTCCATATCATGAAGCGAGAAGAGAGATGGATAGACATATGCCCTGGATTTGTTCAACCACATTTGATTGATGTTAAAGAATGCCTGTAACCGCTCGTCCGGGTGCACATCAGTACCTCCTCGGAATGCGACATTCTTCATCAAGGCCAGGGTGTAGAGAGGAAACAGTTCCAACGAAGGTGGTAGAGAATCGTCTTCGCTCTCACCAGATTGCGGCGCCTGAGGTACAGCGTAGCCTGATACCGTTCGAACACCACCACCCTTTGCGGATCGAATCAAATCCACACACGTTTGTTGCAATCGCATTCGCGCGTTGTCGAGTGACGTCTTCAAACTGACATCAATGGCTTGTTTTGCCAGGAGATTGAAAGTGGCGAAAGGATCAACTCCACTGACCAACTCCGAGGTTACCGTGGTGGTAGGGAATGCCTGTGTCATGACCCGAATTCGCCTCTGACCATCACCATTGGTAAACAGAAGGGCAGACTGTATGGTAACGTAGCTGCTTGCAAGATTTTCTCCATCATGAGCAAGATMGAAGCCAAAGACAGAATCAGAATTTACGTTTGGAAGCGCCATCAAATCTGATCCACGAATATTGAAGTTTCCGTAGTAGTTTGAAATCTTCATTCCCTTTGTCACCCGGGTCCTCATCACCGCCTCGAAGGCAGTTTCTGTCACGAGCGTCTTGTGCAATTGCTCTTCAAACCGCGGGCCGTCCTTGTCTCTGTCGAACATGACATAAGAATGAAGAGATCCCGATGAATACTTTGGCAGTTCTCCCAAAGATGCAATGTCGATGTAGGAATAAGGGAACAAGAACATATCAACACTGATTTGTTGGCGGCTGAATTCGACGGCAGTTACCTGGTACCATTCGTTGTCCCTTCGCAACAAGCCGACCTCTTTGTTCGTTCCCATCACGGAGGGATTTTCTCTGGGTTTTAGAGCTCCGTCCCCCATGTTCGGTTGAATCGATTGAAACACCAGCATTTTACCACCGACGGGTTTCATGACGGTAAATGCGGCCTTAAGTGCTGGGCCCAAACAGGATTGCGCTGGTACGGGGTTCTTGACGAACATTTCCGGAAGGCTGTCCAAGAACGAATCAACTACGTGGCGAGACTCTCGTAGGTTCACCAATAGATTGTCGGGAAGGGGGACAAAGAGCTCCTTCAGAGACGAAATCACCAGCATTTGGGGCTGCGCTAGATCAGGTGCCAAATTGAAGTAGTGAACCGAGTTGTCAAAGGTGATGAAACCAATCTTTGTCCGCTTTCCACCAGGGAGATCGTCTAGACTGCGCTTGATAGCGTTGACTGCACACTCTAGCATCCCGCTATGAATGGCCTGCGCGCTGACATCGATGACGAAAAAATAGGTGGGTTCCTGCGGGGGTCGCACCATGTACTCCTGCGGGGCAATAAATTCAACGATGCCCTGGGAGAGTTCCGGGCGCTCGAACCGATCGGATCGGAAGCCATTGTCATCCAGGTGGCAAAAGTAGGCAGACGGGGTGTTGTTTATCTGTGCACAAATGTTGCATCTCCAGCTTCGGCCGTGGTCTACCCAGTTCACAAAGGCATTGATGTAGGTACGGCAGCGTTTACACCGAATGATTCCGGCGGTTCCGGGTTGTATCGTGGGGATCTCATCGTCGTCGGGGCCGCATGGGGCCAGCGGACGGACGACACCACCGAGGGGGACCTTCGATTGCATAGCGATGTTGCTGGTGGCGGGTACCTTGTCGCAGGTCATGCGAAAGAATCGATCCGGTATGGTAATGTTGAAGTCGATGTTATCCTGGTACACGTTTTGCTGGGGCGCCATTCCCTGTGGCATTCCGGGGGGCATGCCTCCGGGCGCCGGGCTGCGTTGCTGCATCATCGGCGCAGGTGGCGGCGGTGCCCCCGGTCCACCGGGGGGAGCCGGGGCACGAAAGCCTCCCGGGGCCGGGGGCTGGAACTGGCCAGGCGGCGGGGGCCCCCTGGGGGCACCAAAGGCTCCGGCTCCGGGCGGAGTTGCCTGGGGTGCGCCGCCGCTGTACRGTGGTGAATTTCATCGTGAAGTACATGGAAGGGTCCATTCAAAATAAAATGAAAGAAGAAAAAGAAAGATGAGACAAAAGAAACGAGCCAGTCCATCTCCTCAACGAATTCAGCAAACATAGGCAACAGCAAGTTTCCGATGTTCTCCGCGACACGTGCAAGTCAATCCAAAAGTTCGGTCGATTAAAAAAAGGTTTTCCCGTCGCGAATGAACGAATGGGTGTCTCTACTCACCCTGGCGGAGGAGGCTGGAAGCTCATATTCGCCATTCCCTGATTGAGCTGCTTCACGCCAGCGTCTGGAGCAGGTGGTGGGGGCGCGAAACCACCACCGCCGGGTGGTCCCGGGGGAGGAGGACGGGCTCCAAAGGCACCGCCCCCGGGGGGTCCGGGGGGAGGCGGGCGGGCCCCAAACGCTCCACCGCCCGGGGGAGGGGGTGCAAAACCGGATCCACCCGGCGGAGGCGGCGGTGCGAATCCACCAGCGGCCGGAGGTGGCGGCGGGGCCTTGAACTGGTTGCTATTGGGCGGGGGTGGTGGGGGTGGAAAGCCCATCTTGTTTTCGTGGGATTGTTTGTTTTTTCGTTCTATGTGTGTTGATCAGAAAAGGGTTGGTGCGACACAACAGGGATTGGATGGCATACCGTATATCGAAAGTGTGCAATGCGAGAGAGTGAGTTTGACYGCAAAAATGATCGAGGATGACCGAACGGTAGGAAAGGACGTGACGGTTTTCATGGGTTTTTGTTGCCTTTTTTTCCAACGTGTTCACCAGTACTAGTCGTAACGAACGGTATGGTACTCCTTGTACCTGTAAAATTGTACTAGTAGTTCAGGAAAGCCAATTGCTTTAAGACATTGCGATCTGAGTACGAGTAGGGTACGTACGATAACGTGCGGGTATGAGTACGATACAAGACATAGTTTGACGACTGCTTTGTACTTTACTAAAATACCTATCGTATCTATGTATGATATTGATGAAGCAAAATCTTGTCCTTTGTACGGTACATTACGGCACGGTACGGGTTTTTACTCGTTGTCAGTTGCGTACTGCAGAAGGTTCATACAGTATCAAGGTAACAAAGAAAGCATACGCTCTGTACCATACGGTATACGGTACGAGTAAGGACTACGGACGCATTGCAATGGGTTTCCATTGAGAGGAAAAAGGGGCGCGATTTTTGAACTATTGCGTAATACCTACGAGTACGTTTCGCATGTACGTACGTACGTACTCGTATTTTGTTCTCACAGCGATAGCGAATAGCGATAGACATAAATAATGAACCCTTTTTGTAGTTTCTCTTTGTATTTCATTATTAAGGTTAAAGATTAGAGATTTAGACAATTTAGACAATCGGCTGATGACCGATGTCAAGATGAGATCGTCGGCCAGGGGGCCAAGGCATAAATAAACTGGGGGATCGTATCGTATGCACAATGCACACCCATGTATCCAAATGCAGGAGGACGTACTTTGAGTAGTATTCGTACCGTACCAAGTACTCGTCCGAACTACTGTATTACGGAATAATTTTCGAATCATTTCTGTCTCTGTATCTCTTTTTGATCGTACGGGTTACTGTACCTACGCTATTACCAACTCGTACGGTTCTGTCACGTCTCAGCAAAGTGTGTACTTCCCAAATCACAGACTTTCTTTTCTCTCCTCGGCAAACCCCTCTCCGTTTGTCGACCGTCTTCCATCTCATCATATACCCTGCTATTCGCGAAGATTGCAACTACCGCATAGACACAAACCGGAGTTCTCTCCTCTGCGACACAAGTGGTACTGACATTGTTCGAGCAATGAAAGGTTTGCCATTCCTTGCGTATCTATTCTCGATAGCAATAAACAGTAGCAGCAACAACGGCAGTGGAGATAACATCCTCGGCAGTACCTACAAATCTAACAAGGGAAACGGTGGATTCAGCAGCAGCAACAACGATCCGATGAGCATCAAAGGAAATGGCGTCTGCCTCGTCGAGGTGGCCCGGGTGGAATGGAACCCAATCCAGCCGTGGCAGCGATCCCCCCAGTCCAAGAGCTCGGGGACGGCCTTTGTCATCGAGGGGGAGCAGCTGCTAACCAACGCACACGTGGTCAAGTCGGCCATCGACATCCGGGTACGGCCCCACGGGTCGACGCGTCGCTTTCCCGCCCAGGTGGTCTGTTATGCTCCCGACGTTGACCTCGCGCTCCTGGAGCTCGTGGGCGAGAGCGAGAAGGCGGACTTTTTCGGGCACCCGTCGGCAGGAGAAGCCGATGGAGACGAAGAGGAAGAGCGGATTGCCAAGCGGCGCCGGACCACGAAGAGCCTGGAGTTTGCAACGGAGCTGCCCGGGCTGCAAGAGACCGTCCATGTCGTGGGGTTCCCCACCGGGGGCCGAACGATCTGCGTCACGGAGGGGGTCGTATCCAGGATCGATCTATACAACCGTATCGTCGCCATCCAGGTGGACAGCGCAATCAATCCGGGAAACAGCGGGGGACCGGCCTTCAACTCAAAGGGACAGGTTACGGGGTGAGTTTGCGATGTATGCTATATTGTACAGCGCATAGTGCTGTGTCCCTTATGCTTGTTTTCTTGCTTGTTGATTGGTTTGTGAGAACCGAACAAGAATTGATTGTATTCAAGGGCTTGCGTGTATGAAAATTCTCACTACGACGGTGCTTAGGATGCAACCGTGTCCAAATTGTTATGAGCATACAAAACTAGCACAATGTCTTACCAACAATGCCTCCCAATATGAATCTACCGTGCATTGTATTGCAATCCAGTGTCGCCTTTCGAAAAAGAATCTCCACCAAGTCTCAAAAAGTCGACAACATAGGCTATCTTATTCCCGCAGTCCTGGTCCGGGCCTTCCTGGGACGTGTCGATCGAGAAAAGGGAACATACCAGCTCTCCGGCACGATCCCGTACCGATGCCATTCGCTGGAAAACCATTCCCTTCGGCTGGCGCACGGCGTTCCGGATTTCGTCCACGGCATCTTGATCACAAGCGTAGCTGACGCCGTGACGGAATCGACAGAAGATGGAACTTCCGCCGAAGAATCGCCGCTGCAGCTGCAACCAGGGGACATCCTGACCAAAATCGACGACAGCCCCGTAGCCGACGACGGCCAGGTGGTGCTGAGGGGAGACGAACTGATCCATCACGCGTACCTGATGCGGATCAAACAGAAGGACGAATCCGTTATTTTCACCGTTTATCGTGGCGGCAAGCACATCGTGTGCGATCCTTACTTTCTAAAAGACATTCAGCCCATCATACCTCGCTGGGGAGGCGTGGACTACATGCCCAATTACTTGATTCTCGGGTCTTTGGTCCTCCTGCCGCTCTTTCTGGAATTGAAAAACTTCAAGCAGTGCGGCCACTTGCTAAAGGCCGATTGCATCCAATCATACTGGAGATGGCCCAGAGAATGGGAGGGGAAGGAAGGTTTGGTAGTATTGACTGAGATCTTCGCCCACGAGCTGAGTTTTAGCTACAGCCGGCCGTGGCGGCGTGTGGTAAGCTACAACGGAGAAAAAATCAAGAGCCTCGGGCATCTGCAGAAGCTCTGGAATGCCAGCTGCTCCACCGTTACAACGTCGGTCGAACAGAAAGAGGCTGAGCGTACTCTTACATTTGTTCGACTGGAATTGGAAAACGACGACGACATCGTGTTCGAGGTGGAGGCTGCCATGAAAGCACAAGAAGAGGTGATGGCAACGCATGCGATATCGAAGCCGTACAACATATTGCCTCGCAATCCGAATTACATCTAAAAGATAAAAAGAGCGAAACAGTATGAATCCACTAATGACTTGCAGGAAATAACATAACGCAGCGATCATTTATGCTGTTGAATAAATCTGATTTGAAGTGGTTTTGCAACTCTAGAACCAGTTTCATCAACCTGTTGGTATCTCCCACTTGATTGATTGATTTTGATCTACCAATTTCAACAGTTTCACGTCATTTTYCCCAGTTCTTCCGTGTAGCAATGATGGATCATTCCTTCGAGGTTGTACCGGATGAGGAAAAAATCATTCAGGCACACTGATCATGCTACGACTCAAGGTTGTTGATTGCAATCAGCGCGTAGATGAGTTTCATTTGGGCACCTTACTGTAACAAATTACCCAATAAGCCAATATATGGCAAAAAAGGAGCAAAAGCACCATCCTTTATGCGGCGAGAGCAACGGATTTTCCAGACGCACTCGACCACTTCACGATGATTTGATCATGGTTTGAGACATAATTGCAATTCAAGATTTCACGGCAACAACAGCAAATCAGATCACGTTGAGATCACGATTTCTCCAATCCACTGATCCCAGCGCATTGATATTTTAAAGTGGTTGCCAAACAAAAAGAGGGATTTTGTTTTTCGTACCTTCAGGAGTTTTTCGAGCATCAGCGAGGGTGGAACGCTTTCGTCGTGTGTCACTACTGCGCTCTTGGCTTCAACATCCGTGACAATGTCGGTGACACCATCCATCTTCATGAGGATTCGCTTCACTGCATTGGCGCAGCCATCGCTGCCAAAAAACAGTGYGAACACAAAAGACATGAAAACAACTTTTGTAAGTGAGACGAAATACGCCGCCGCGTCATTCGCTTCCAGAAAAGAATGGCGATATCGACCAGCGTGAGCGGAGACCCGGATCCCTGCCACTTTTTCTTTTACCCCTAGGCAACGTACCAGGTCATCCCAATATCGAATTTGGTTTCTGGCATTTTTGAATGTGTTGTTCTTTGTTTACTGTTGCTAAGTTTGTGTCAACGACGCAGTGATCAACGAGGTACTGCAAACCGGTCACCGAGAAGGGGTTTTTACTCATTCGGATGAGGAAAAGGGCGAGAGGCAAAAAGACAGAAGACGACAACTTCAGTTAAAAAACCTGACAACTACGAGTACTACCGCACGGTACGAATTAAACTCGTACTTTACCGTGCGGTAAATTCCATCCAACTGCGCTGCCTCAAAACACCTGTAGCCGTAGGGGGTGGTACGTACAATACGAACCGTGTCAAATCGTGCGAACCCTGAAATCTTTATTCTAAATTATGACCCCTGGCATACAGTACGTTCCGACCAAGAGTTTTTGATTAGTTCGATTCAATCAAGCTGGAATCTCGCCGGTTCGGAATGATCCTTTACCGCGAAAACCGAAAAATTAAAAATAAGAGATGTGTGATGTTTTTGTTGGAATATATCGTCCTGGTGAGACCAACATTGGTGCGGAGCATCCGATACAATACCCAAAGCAATAGTATACATTCATGATTATGCATATATTTATATAAGCTGCACCTCCGGATTGTTAATGGATGATTCACAGGCTACCGCGACCACAATATATCACTGACATTCTTCAAATTCCAATCACATGGTTGCACATACCGATACTGTTAAACAATGATCCAATCAACCAATCACGGCAACCAGTGGGTGTAGCAGATGAGCAAACAGATGGGCTGGTCAAATGAGATCTGTCCACATCAGTGTGCTCATTCTTTATTTTTATTTATCTAACCAACAGAGTATTCGTTATTCTTTAAGGTTTCATAGCGTAGCTATTGTTACAACATAAATAAAAATAAAGAAACGGTAAGCCAGTGTGAATAGGATCCCAGGCAATAGAACCACCTCAGTTGTTCAGTAATTCTAACAGTTTCCCGTCAAGCAGTCCAAATATAGGCCCTCCAGGAAGATATTTGTATCGTTGAGCTGATCTGCATCCTCCGAGTCACAAAATGAACACCATTAATGCATCGGATTCCACTGAAAACAGCGGACAAAGCACTACCAATGGTGGTGGAAATAACAAGTCCCGAAACAGGAACAGGAATCGAAACAAGCAAAACTCAGGGGAGGCTGTCCACAATGACAAGAAGTTCACCGGATTGGATCAAGATGAACTCAAAGGGCTCATCGTGAACAGCTCCAGTTCCCAACAGTATGACAAGCTGTTCGAAGGACTCAAAGTTATGGAAGGAAAGAAGAACTCAAATGTAAAATCAACACTACTGTCTTTCAAGAAGATGACAGAGATGAGCTTCATCCCAGCAATGCCAGAGCCATCACAATACACCATTGTAAGTGGTGGCGTGACCACCGAAGACACTAACAAAAAGAACTTGCTGAATACGGCCTGGCTTGAAAAGACAAAGAGAGCGACCAAGAAATTCGAAGCATATGAAGAAGACCTCAAACACCTGTTCTCATCCGTTGAAGGACAACTAAGTCCGGGAGTGAAGCAGCAGCTCAAGGCACATAAACGCTGGAGTGATGTGGAGCAAGACCAGGACACGCTGGAGCTACTCAAACTCTTGCGAGAATACTGCTATAGAGACAGCAACACTATGGTTCAGCCAATGGTGGATGTGATGAACAAAGTGCTAAAGTTCTTCAACTGTAGACAGGAGTACTCGAAGGATGCGGCAACATTTGCAGATGAGACCAAAGCAAGGTTCGATGTACTGAAGTCTGCTGGAATACACATCTGGTCAGAAGACATGATTGAATACACCATCCAAAGGCGATTCAAAGGAGTGGAAACACTGGAGTCTTACCATGAGAAGACCAAAGAAGATCGTAAGGTGATCGATGAGGCGATGGAAGAACTAATCGTCGCAACCGTAATCGCGAACGGTTGTCATCCCCGTCAACACAGGAACCTTGCAGGGGTTCTGAAAGACAGCTACAGCCTTGGAACGGATGCATATCCAACCACGAGTCTGAAGGCACTCGAGCTCTTGAATCAGTATCGTGCGACAGCAGGAAACAACACAAGAGGAGCCCAAAACAATGGCGGTGGAGGGAGATCAGATGGGAGACAGCAACGTGACCAAGGTAGAAACAACCAACGAACCAATGACAAGGAGTCAGAGGCAACCGCGTTTGTAACACGTGGAGGAGAACAGGGATCAAGGTCCGTAACAATCAAAGAAGCAACACAAATGTTCATGGATGCGGCAGTAGACGGTGAGGAAACAGACGAACTGTGCTTTGTGCACCTTGCCGAGCCGTTGAAGCGAGACGGAAAGAACACCGAAGGGGATGCTTACCTCTCAACAAGCGAAACACTGAGCTTCGAAAAGCCCAGGAGTGAGTGGGGAAGGATCGTAACAAGAGATCATCATGTAAGCGAAAGATTTGAGGTGCTACTGTCACAGACCAAAGGAGGAAGAGTAAACCCGAACTGGATCCTGCTCAATAGCCAAGCAACTTGTAACTGTATCTGCAACGCCAAGCTGCTAAAGAACATACGCCTGCACCCAAGCGGGGAACGGATCCGGATCCACTGTAATGCTGGAAATGTCTTGGTAGAAGAGATCGGAGACCTCCCGGGATTTGGCCCAGTGTGGTACCAGAAGGATGGGATTGCCAACGTACTGTCACTGGGACTGGTGTCCGACAGTCACCGGGTGACACTCGATACATCCATCGCACAGTCATTCTTCGTGCACAAGCCGGATGGGACGACGCGTCGTTTCGACAGAACACCATGCGGACTGTATGCATGCGATATAAGCGACACCAGTGGAATAATACTTACAGTAACCACAGTCAAAGGACAGAAGCAGTTTTACTCAGACCTGGACCTGCGTCGAGCAAAGACGGCCAGGAAGCTGCAGGAAACACTCGGGTTTCCCAGCCTAAAGGGGTTTCTGCACATGATAGATAACAACCTGATCTTGAACTGTCCCGTCACTAGAAGAGACGTGTTAATGGCTGAGGACATTTACGGAGTGAATACAAACATCATAAAAGGAAAGACAGTGCGGAAGCGAGCGCCGCATGTGAGAGAGGACGTCAAACCGGTGCCAAAGGCAATATTGAGCAAGTACAGAGAAGTCACACTAGTAGGAATTGATGTGTACACAGTAAACGGGATCAAGTTCCTTCGGTCGATCTCCAGGCACATACAGTTCAGAACCAGCAGAGCCATCACGAATGCGCGCAGCTCAACACTATTGACCTGTATCAAGGCAATAGTGGGGCTATACGCAACACGAGGATTCACGGTAACGCAAATATATGGTGACAACGAGTTCAATTGTCTCCAGGATCCAATGTTGACATGGTCGCCGCCCGTGCACTTCCACGGGGCAGCACCGGAGGCGCACGAGCCTTTCATTGAACGAGACAATCGAACGAGCAAGGAACACGTGCGGTGTACATTTGCGTCAGTCCCATTCCGGTCAATGCCAGGAAGGATGGTAATAGAATTGGTCAATGGGGTGGATTTCTGGCTAAACCACTGGTGCAGCTCGACCGGAGTGTCAAAGACCATTCCACCACGCCAGCTCATGACAGGGCGACGGCTGGACGCCCAGAAACACTGTCGCTTCCAATTTGGGGACTATGTCCTTGGACACGAGGAGAATGGTGATAACTCAATGGACGCACGGGCAAGGGATGCAATATACCTAAGACCAACCGGGGACGCTCAGGGCGCCATGTATCTGTTCGACCTCAAGACTGGGCGACGCATACGAAGAAAATCTGCAACACTAGCACATATGACAGACACCGTAATTGCACGAGTCGAAGCGATTGCCAAAGAACAGAAAGCACCACCAGGAATTGTGTTCGGTGACGCTGCCGGCAACACAACCATACTAGACCTGGACACAGGACCAGACGGATCGGACGACGATGATGCATCAGACGCATCGTACCTACCTTCTGGGGACGACACATCCATAGCCTCAGATCTCTCAGGAGTGGACGAGGGAGTGGAAGAGATCTCCCTGGACGCTGGGGACAGTGAAAACACCATGGTGGAAATGAATGAGCATGATACTGAAGAGGCCAGTTACGGCAACTCTAACCAGAGCGAGGAGCTCAGCGTAGGCCCTGGTACAGATCCTACTGAAGATGACGTTGAACACGATACGGATTACGGGATTGAGCCAAATATAGCATCCACGACCAACAAAGACACGGCCAACCAACACCATGAGTCACCTGGCGCGCAAGAAGAGACCAATCACTACGAGCCGCGCGATCATGATGATGCGTGGAACGGACGCGATGAGTCACGTAGTAACGCTGCCAGTAGTACTAACGGTACTGAGGAATACGTAGAAGCTAACGCGAATAGCAGCAATGAAGGGGAAGCCCAGCAAAGCCATAATATCAGTAACAGCAACAACACGGAGCTTCATGAGGAAGATGATGGGGCCAGCGAAGAACCGGAGAGCGGTATAGGTGAGCAAGATGAGCCAGCAATAGACACTGTGCCGCGACGTGTGCTTCGGCCGCAGGTCACGAGATCACACAATAAGTACAGCAGTGACGACGGTTTCAATCCTGTGGTCCACCATCGTGTGGCAACCACAACACACCACTTGTGCTTCTTCACAGCCGGCTTTCGTACTGCTCTGACCGAACTAGAAGAGCGCAATGAGTAGTACATGTTTATCGCAACCGCAATTGCGAAGTATCATAATATCGATGCATCTCTCGTAACACGCCAATACGGTATAAAGGACGGGCTAAAAATATTTGGAACTCTAGGAGTGGAGGCCGTGCTCACTGAACTAAAGCAGCTTCACGACCGGGAGGTGATTAGCCCAGTCAAAATCCGAGACATGTCGGAAGAAGAGATTAAAAAGGCTCTCCCGTACCTAATGTTCCTGAAACGGAAGAGATGTGGGAAGGTGAAAGGTCGAGGATGTGCAGATGGGAGGTCTCAGCAGGAGTTCATCTCTAAGGAGGAATCGTACTCACCCACAGTCTCATTGCATGCCCTTATGTTAACTTGCCTAATAGATGCCATAGAATGCCGAGATGTTGCAACAGCAGATATTCCCGGGGCATTCCTGCAGACCCCCATGCCTGAAGGGGAAGTTGTGCACGTGAAGCTAGATGGACCAATGGTGGACATCCTGGCACGGATAGATCCGGGACTATACACTCCCTATGTCGTTACAACCAAATCAGGACGAAAGCTCCTATATGCAAAGGCGGACAAGGCAATCTACGGCACACTCCGGGCAGCACTGTTGTTCTACCAGAAACTGAGCGGGAAGCTCATGGATTGGGGCTTTGAGATTAACCCATATGACCCATGCACAGCCAACCGGATGATCAATGGTCACCAGTGCACAATCGTGTGGCATGTAGACGACCTAAAGATCTCTCACAAGAGCCAAGCAGTAGTGAGCAAGGTCCTCCAGGCACTCAACCGCGAGTTTGGAAAGGAAGCCCCGCTAACAGTTACAAGGGGAAAGATACACGAGTATGTGGGAATGACCATCGATTACACAGAAACAAAGAAAGTACACCTCAGCATGTTCGACTACCTGGAGGGAATCCTCGCGGAGCTCCCGGACGAACTAAGGGAGACTCGTCGACTCACACCAACGCCGGCTGCTGCTCACCTGTTCCAGGTGAATCCAGAAGGAATCAAGCTGCGGCCTGCGGATGCGGAGCTATTTCATCATTTCACTGCACAACTGTTGTTCGCGAGCAAACGAGCGAGACCTGACTTACAGACTGCAGTCTCATTCCTATGCACCAGGGTATCGGCTCCAGATACAGATGATTGGAAGAAACTCCGAAGAGTGATGGCATATCTGAAAGGCACCATCTTTCTTCCCCTCGTGGTGGGCTGTGATTCAACCGGGAATGCAAACTGGTATGTTGATGCATCATTCGCTGTGCATGCCGACATGAAAAGCCACACAGGAGCTGTACTCACATTTGGACAGGGAGCAGTATTAGCAATGTCAACCAAGCAGAAATTAAACACTAAGAGCTCCACCGAAGCTGAGCTGGTGGGGGTGGATGACGCGTTGCCGTATAACTTGTGGTGTTACTATTTTCTCGAGTGGCAGGGATATGCAGCAAAAGGATGTATGCCCAACAGCCCAAAGGAAGGAAAGACACCAGGCAGAAGGCTTGGGGAAGTGAATATCCTTCATCAGGACAATACCAGTGCTATCAAGCTAGAAACAAATGGAAGAGCATCAAGTACAAAGCGTACTCGCCACATCAATATTAGATACTTTCTTGTAACTGACAGGATCAAAAAAGGAGAAATCACTGTGCAGTATTGCCCAACAGGAGACATGGTGGCTGATTTCTTCACAAAGCCCCTCCAAGGGTCCCTTTTTCGAAGACTACGGAATACTATCCTAGGGATTAATGAATCGGAGTATAATGCCCACCAAACAGCGTATTATGCCAGGAAAATAAGTGCAGAGTAATGTTGCACTAACCAGCACAGAGTTCCTTGAATACGGAGCAAGCCCAACGAGGACGCTGTCTTATCGTTGAAACAGCCCCCGCAGGAGTGTGTTGGAATATATCGTCCTGGCGAGACCAACATTGGTGCGGAGCATCCGATACAATACCCAAAGCAATAGTATACATTCATGATTATGCATATATTTATATAAGCTGCACCTCCGGATTGTTAATGGATGATTCACAGGCTACCGCGACCACAATATATCACTGACATTCTTCAAATTCCAATCACATGGTYRCACATACCGATACTGTTAAACAATGATCCAATCAACCAATCACGGCAACCAGTGGGTGTAGCAGATGAGCAAACAGATGGGCTGGTCAAATGAGATCTGTCCACATCAGTGTGCTCATTCTTTATTTTTATTTATCTAACCAACAGAGTATTCGTTATTCTTTAAGGTTTCATAGCGTAGCTATTGTTACAACAGTTTTCCTATCGGGTGCGAAAAGTTGTGAACCAAGCACTGCCCTCGAAGTCGGAACCGATGCTCTATGCTTCAAGCAACGAGCCATACTTATCATAACCAAGGAATGGGAGCCCGCTGCATCTTTGTCGCGTCGCAGAGAATATCGCTGTTGCTCTTTATAGTTTTGTGCGCAACGCGTGAATGGCACCCTGGTGGTCTTTTTTATCACTGTGAAGCTTGGACACATTCCTTGTTGTTCAAATCCAAAGAGACATTCAAGCTGGCAGAAATTCAGAATTTGGAAGCTTCCGTACAAACGTCGTACTCGGAATTCTTCTGTGACGACTTGCAAGACGATTTGGTTCTAAGATACAATTTGACCCGATTGGTGGTAGACCGAGCGACAGGATCTTCGCTCTTTCGTTTGGATTTATACAGCGAAGGAAAAAATGGCAACGAATTTCCGAATATAAAGAGAAGTGAAGATACCAGGATATCACTGGGATCGGAGGATTTTCTGCGTTCGACATTGTTATCGTTGTCGAGTTTGCGGCGTTGTGATTGGATAGGACAAGTGCTTGAAGAAGGTTGCGACCCCCCAGATTTGGTAACCAACCTCCATAGGCAAAATAGTTCTTTGAAGGCTCTTTCCAACGATTTTGATATTGATGAATGGAAATTGGACTACGTAAAATTTATGGATGAAAAGTTGACTAGTACGAAACCGACCTACACAATGAAATCTTTGCTTTGTGCTATCGCCAATGAAATACCGTGTCGTCCATCACTTGATCCGTCCCWGGCCAAAAATCGCCTCCTCATTGTTGACGCAGCAACACAAGGCCCCGATTCATCTTGTTGTTTACTTCGATGTATAAATCTACCRAAAGGCGAAGAAAAATCACCGTTGCAGCTAAAATGGGCGAACAGGCCGTTTCAATATAGCAGTGCAATCAATTACGAAGTAGCGGAAATGATTATCGAGATTTTGACTACTTTGTGCGACAAACAAAAAAGTAGCATGGGAGACGAAAGCAACGATACTGCAAAGTTTTTCTGGGACCCAACTTGCGGGAGCGGGACCTTCTTGACTTTGGCGATGGAAAAGGGCTTTCACGTTGAAGGACAAGACATCAACCCCAGCGTTGCCAATGGAGCTGTCTGCAATCTCGAATACATGTTTGGCGAAGCAGAAGTAGAGAAATTTGCAACTGTTCAGACTCAGGATAGTTGTAACAGTTTGAGAGACAACGAATCGTCATCATCTTCGGTTAAGAATGCGGCGATTTCTTGTGTGGCGGCAAATCTACCGTGGGTACGTTGCACTTTTGACAGTGTTTCCATAGAGGATGACGAACCAGCAGTTCGAACAAGAAGTTCGTGAGAAAACGTTTCCTTCGCTTTGTATCATATTTTTCTCTCTGACTATCTATACCATTGTATTTTTGATAACTCATCATTTACGACAGGGACGCAACAGCGTACTATACCGCGACGAAATCCAGCGTATTTTAGGCTCTGTTCGTTCTCAAATTGAGGTTGGTACACCTTGCGCATTTATCACACGACCATCAGACTCTGGAAAAGATAAGGGCCCATCATTTTTGTTTGAATCCACCGGTTTTGACGTTTTAGGGCAAGCTTTTGTCCCACAGCGCAACTTTTTGCTTCCAGCCAGCAAGAAGAMGAAGAATTCTGGGATAGGAAATTCTGGCAGCACTAAAGATAATCGAAATCAATGCGTAATCACCGTTGCATTGGCGAAATGATGGGATTTAAAACTATGTTTTGCGTGCAGAACCATCTTGTCATTCTCGTATTCTTGCATTCCCTTCCTCTACGGATATAAAAATCTAAATGGAAGGCACCAAGAATTCAGGCCTCGTTACGCTTTAATGTCTTCTTCGGAATTTCATACGCCGAGAATTTTCATGACTACATTTCAAACAATTCGCTGTAACGTTTGGGGGAAAGGCGATTGTAATTTTCAGTCTAATTGATGGTTCAACATCTGCTGTTCGAATGCATACCGCCTTACTTAWAGAGCCAGCTATTTTCTAATCCCAGATAAAACCCATATTTGCTAGCTTTTTTCCAGGCCTTWGGAGAGACAAATTCTTGCGTATTGGTGTCTCTTTCATACCGTTCGCCAAGAGCAGCGTTCTGGATCATTAACCAGTTGGCAAGCTTTTTGCCGGTCGTCAATTCTTTGTGACGCTTCAAAATGTTCGACCCGAAAATATTATTTCGGATGTTATCGATGTTTACGTTTGGTGAACGACACCGTTGAGAGGGGCTAAACATAACGTTGTACTGATGATGTAAAATCTTGACCGCATCTGAGATGATTTTGCGTTCCGATTTCGATGCTACACCTGGCATGTCAACCAGCATTAAAGGTTCGGCCTTGTTGATCTCTGTGTAGACTTGTTCTGCGAAGGACGAAGAATTTGTCGCATCTGACTTCGACAGTTCGGAATAAACTTCAACGAGAACGTTGCGGAAATAAAATTCTTGATCCTTCCATGCCTCGCTTTGATTAACTTTCTGCTTCTTGGTTTTATTTCTCTCTTCTCGCAGTGCCTGCATCATTCCCACTCGATGCTGCCCATCAATGACAAATAATTTACCGGCAGCGTCTTCATACAAGCAGATAATTCCTGGAAAACCCAAATTCATCTGATCAGCCTTTTCGTCTGCCATTCGTCTTGCTCTATCGCTCCTGTAAATTCTTTGTTTCTTCCAGATAGGTATCGTTCCTAGCTGACCCGAGGACACAGAGTGGACACGTTTGTAACCCAAATCGATTACAATAGGGCCCAAAATTGGATGGGGCTCATTGTCATTGGTAACTTTTGCATCGTCCGGATTGCTCCGTCCCGAGTCTTGTTTTTCATCATGAATTACTCTCGCGTTCGCACGCTCTGCTTTGAGCCTTTCCTTTTGTTGCAGTGAAAGAGAGCGGTATTCTTTTGGAGTATAATATTCTGCTTTTCTTTGTGTGTCTGCTGCAGGAATTTCCATTTTGTTTTCAGCCTCAATTTGCAAGAGCTCTTTCTTTTTTTTCTTTATTTCATTGGTTTTATGCAGTAACTCTGTTTCAATTTTATCTAATTCGAGTTGTTGTTTTTTGCGCTTTTGAATCAACATTTGAAGCACTTCCAGCTTATCGCTCTCTTCTTTTGCCTTGGACTCTAGACTTTTCATATTTTCTTTAGCGACTTTTTTTGCTAATTGTTCATTATGTTTTCCTGCCTCCTTTGCGGCAGCTTCTGATTTAGCCTCTGGGTGTTTTCCCTTCTTTTCTGTCTCCTTCTCTGGAACAACATTTACTCTAGCCTTTTGTTGCTTTTCCTGCTCTTGTGCCTCTTTCTTCTGTGTAACACCATCAGCTCTCGCTTTGATCTGTAGGAGTTTCTTCTTCGTTTCTAGTGCATTTTTGGAGGCATTTACCATTGCTTTGGGAACTTCTACGGGTTTCAGTTCTTCCGCGGCCTTCTTCATCGCTGCAGCCCTAAGTTGATCGGCTTTCTCCAGCGTTTTCGCTCTTAGTTCTTCAGCTTTCTTTGYTGCAGAGCTTTGTGCTTTACTATCCAGTTGACTATTTTCATTCTTCTCAGTTTTCTCTACTGAAATCTTAGCTTTGACATCTAACCGTTTCTTCGCTTCTTCAGCCTTTTTCTCTTCTGCAGTTTCGGCTTCAACGACTGATCGTTTCTTTTCTTGTTTTACGGTTTTCACAGCAGTTTCCATTACTTTCATTGCTGTTTGGCTCTTCTCTGCTGCCTGGTGCTCCTTCTCTTGCTTTGCTTTTTTCTCTAGTAATGATGGTGCTTCGAACTGTTTTTTCTCTTCTCCGACCTTATTTTTCGAAGCTTCTTTTGCTTTAGCCCCTGAGACTTTCTTTTCTTCATCGATATTATTTGATGCAGTTTTAAAGTCTTTTGCGTTCTCCTTTTCCTGTGCTTTGGCGTTTGCTTTCGTAGCGTCGTATATCCTTTTTCTGTCTTCAATGGCTCTCTCTTCTTTTAAGGTCGTCGACACATCAGCCGGCACAGCTATCGCAGCGTTACCAATACTTTCACTCCTCGTTGCACCGACCGAGGGTCCAATCAATTCCAATGGATCGAACATCGTCGTAGAAGGTCTCTTTAATCGAGCAGAGGGCTTGATTCCCCCTACAGAGAGATTGATGCCGTCATTTACAACAACACTAATATCCTGTCCGTCAACTCTCATATTTGTCGATGATTGTTCTTCAGATTTTGCGTTGTCCGCTAAGGACTTTGTCATTCTTCCCTGGAATCTTCGTACTGGAGGATGATCTCCTTGTACTTCTATTCCAATTTGCGAATCTTCGGTCAATAAAGAAACTGTTCTCGGAACGGTCTGATGTTGCCTTGTCGAATAGAAGGCATTTGAAGTAGGATTCATCAACGAGAAAAGTACGAGGAAGCGGACTCCAATCATCCGGTAATAATGATGCCACTGTGCCATGATACTTGTTTCGTTGTTAATTCCTGTTTGAAGTTGAATTCTTGCTGTTTGTATTGTGGATCACTCACTTTGCAAGTATGTCGGTACCTCTGTGCCTAGTCGGCATCCCGTGATGGTGCGGAATTAAGTTTTTGTCGGTGGCAGTTTTTTACCGTTTTACAACTTTGTTGATTTTTTTGTAATGTTCAACATCAGCGCGCGTTATCTCATCGTTTTTATCGCGCGAAACAATTCCATACACTATGCTTTGATTGGCTCGCCCTGCTTTAAAATAGAGTGAGCGGGCACGGTTAAAATTCAAAATTTCATTTGCTAATTACGACTGTTAATTACGACCAATCGGCATTCAGCATGGTCGGTGCCTCTCGTGGATTTACTGAAGTCGTGTCACGAGAATGGATTTGTTGAAGACTGTGTGTACGTGTGCACCAGTAGGATGCATTGAGATTTTTTGGACAGCAAGAAGAAGTAGAAAGTACGAAGTAAAGTAAAATAGTTTGAAAAAGGATGACAGTTACCTGAAAACAACAGACAGTCGGGAAAAAACACAAGTAACTTTCTTTTTGCACCTCTACGGCACACTCGAAAGAACAAACGAACAATCTCGTTACAATAAYACGTAACACAAACCAAAGAGAGGAAAGGAAATTAGAGAATCGACAGGCAAAAATATTTTTGCAGTTTGACATTCTGCAACAATCACGACCTTAAAGTTCTTTGATTCAGATACACCTTGTTGAACCGAACAAACAAACACTGACAGAATGCCATTCTTCACGGAAGAGAAGAAGGATGACGAGCTACGAATCGCTAAGAGCAACAGCAGCAGCTCACTTGATTTAAACATCATCGAACAAGAGCACACCGGGGTGTTCGAGGATGATGCGGAAGACGAAGAGAAAAAGGTGGTYAAGTTTGCGGATGTTGAAGCGGAAAAGCATGACGCTCAACGCGATCAAGAACGATCTCGCCAAGAGCTGTTGTCGAAAATTKCTCGGTTGACAGACAGTCTCAAGGAAGCCCAAGAAAACATTAAGTTTGAAAAGGACAAGCGAAAGAAAAAAGAAAAATCACTCTTGAAACTAGCGAAGGAACTGAAGAAGAGGAATCTTCAGAGGGAACAAGATGAGGACCGATTTGAAGAGGTACGTTTACATATCCTTTGTTTCACCAGTTATGTACTCCAGATTCTGTTCATTTTAAATCGATATGGATATAAAAGGGAAACTTAAGCTAACAAATCAGTTTCCATTGGGGATGGTTGTCTTCATACAAATCTAAGCTTGAAGAGAAAAGAAAGTATTTAGAACACCATTGGGTCCTAGCCCAGAAAGAACTCGACCAAGAAAAAGCTTTGCATGCAAAGCTYCACGWGGATACCGAGAAAGAATATGACCAAGGCATGAAAGAAGAAAAGAGCAAGTACGAACGAATGTCAAAAGAAAACGAAACTCGATTGGCGGATCTTAAGAAAGCCCACATTGAGCAATGTGAGCAATTAGGACGAGAAGCATGGAAAGCGAATCTAGAGGCAGATCGCCTACATGAAGAATTGATCGCACGAGGACTGGATGTTCCTAGGCGTACACTCGCAAACGAAGAACGTCCCGCAGTGCGTGATCAGAGTCGTTTGCAACTTATTATTCTCTACTTCTCCATTATTTCATCGATTGTAAGTTCTTTGCCTTGATTTGACATTTCTTTGTTTTGGGCAAGATGACATAAGTGCAGACACACGCTCAACTCACAGAATTTTTTGTTACAGATTTATGCCTACCTTGGAAATGATATCAAAGAAATTTTCTCACGAAAAGGCATCTGTGCACCCCTCATTCCAGGCACGACCTTGGATGATAATGCCTATGGAGTTTTTGAAGCACCCTGGTGGGCTCCCGCTGTCTTCAAGGAGCAGATGTTCACCGCCATCTGCACGGAAGGCGGGTTTAATTCAGCACTTTCTAAGACTTTTTCCACTCCATCTTCTATTGAATGGGCCAGAGACGGCAAGAACAACAGGCTAGTCGTATCAACGCAAGGCAAGGCCGTACTAAAGAGAAGCACTGCGAAGGCTCAGATCAAGGTCAACTACATTGAATTTTGGAAAAGAAATGGTTACAGTGATGAAGTTCCTGTCGACTGGTTACCAAAGAGTTAATTGAACCTAGCTGACCACATCGCGACACCAAATCCCTTKAATCCAAACCTTCCATTAAATACCGAGGTAAGCATATGCTACACATAATCCCTTCCGATCTTCCTGGACAATAGATTGCTATAGAGAGCACGAGGCACACAATAGTTATCAAATGGTAAAAAATCACCACATCAACATTCCGCCCACCAAACTTACCGTGTTTACAACATTATTCAACAACGCACGACGAACTGATTCATGGACACGAACAAAGAAGCGATTGAAATGAAATCACTGTCTATTCACCGTTCATATGTTAGGTATCCAAAGCGAAAACAACAAAAGAAACGCAGAGTTACAACAAATACAACAGTAAAAGGCTATCGCAATAAAATATCTAAACTACACCTTATTTTATAACTCATCGTTATACCATTCTAAAATAAATTCCACGCTGCCTAGTGAATGCAGAAGGATTGGGAATCAATGAGAACTTTGGTTGTGTCCATCCTTGTGGAGGTATGCGCATGTCAGATGCAGTCGGATTTCCATGGGTTCGATTCAAGTCTTCGTTCATCATTATTTTTTGTCTTCCGTATTCAATCGAGCTTTTTGGGTCCTTTAAGCCCTCTGTCAATGTTCGGATGGCACCTACCGTGTGGACAGGGCGTCACCATGGCTCTTTATATGGCGAGAGAACAACAATTTCAGGGATTATCAAATCTTGTTCCGATCCGGCCTTTGCCGAATGAACAAACAAAAATTCGTTTTTACAGTCATCTTTGCATTTATCATATGATCTCGTTGGCCATCGCCGATTCCGTTTCCAAAGAAACAGACGATTCCGGATGGTCTCTGCTGTTTGTTGCCTCCAGGGTTTCTTCTGGTTCTTTCTGCTCCGGCACTGCAAAAAATGTCAGGAGGAAGGCAAAGAGTGCAACGCCGGCACATATCAGCATCACGACGTGATCTCCCAGTTCGTCCGCGGCTGGTGCAAACAGAGTCGCTCCCGTGAGTGCTCCCATTTTCCCAGCGGCGGCTGACACGCCATTCCATGTAGCACGATGTTCCTCTTCGAACACCAAGCTCGGCAGTATGAACGTAGTCGTATTTGGTCCATAGTTGGCAAAGAAAAACGTCATTCCATACAGGAGCACCAACATGGCTGGGTCTTTGCGAAGATAGGACCAATTGAAACCAATGGTGGCGTAAAGCAGCGTCATTGCGGCAAATCCCTGCAGCATCACGTACCGCGGAGTTTGTCTCACACAGTATGTTTCCTTCCCCATAATGATTCCAGCCATAGCGTATCCAGGAAGGGCGATGCTCGTTAGGATCAAACTGTCGATTGAGGTCTTCCTAAGCACTTCAAAAGAGGTACCAGAATTTCCACTCTGGGTTCCAAATGCTGCGGCGACAACAATCGGTTGAAATATTGTGTTTCCATAAAATACGACATCGAAGAGGAACCAGGTTCCAGCGGTACCAATAACTTTTCGACCCAATCCAGGCTCGTGTAACAGGTTTTGCAACCATCCTCCACCGTGAATGCTAAGGGCATCACCTTCACTAGTTACGTTTTGCCCGCCGTTCATGAATCGCTGCTCACCATCATCGCTAATGTTGCTGACCGTGCTTGTTAAAACTGAATTATTCTCTAATTCTCCATCCGAATCGGCATCTTCCATTTGCTCCATCTCTGGAAAAGCTCCAATTGTGCGACGGTATCGGTGGTGTTGATGGCATTGAAGGCACATCAACACGATGCCAGGGAGAGCACCCAGACCAAGCATTGTTCGCCACACGACATCTAGGTTGGAAGTAGAATACAGAAGCAGCACGGCGACTAGTGGAACAGAGACAAACCCAACCCCTTGCATGCTAAAGGTCAGCACAACTCGTTGGATCGACGACGAGTCGGTCTCTGATCCGTTGGTTTCGCCTCCACCCTCTGRTTGTCGGTTTCCGTCCTCGGCACTTATTACGGCAGCCAATGGGTATMCCCCGCCGCACCCAATCCCCAGCACAAACCTCAGGCCGGACAGCCAGAGGAAAACGTCAGCCCGGCCACGAGCTCCAACCCCTCCCATTCCCACGAACGCGCTCGCCAAACTCGCAACAATTTGCAGCGCCATCACCAGACGCAGGGCTCCCATCCGGCCCAGCCAAGAGTCGCCTAGCGCACCCCCCATCAATTGCCCAAAAATCATTCCCGCCAACAGAGACGACGCCACCAATGCCGTGTCGCTATCCGAGCTACCGGAATGCAGTTCTTTCAAGATCGGCAATACGAGAGAAACATTGACGACGTTATAGCTTGTGGAGAAATTGCTAATCATGGCCGTGACCTGGTGGGCGTTTTGGTACCACCGTTTGGCGGTGACCGTTCTGCCATCGTTGTCGACGACGTTATGATTGCCGTTGGAAGCCGCCATTGCAAGCGGTGACGAAGGAGAAAGCAAGGATGTTTGCAAATCTTCAAAGCTCCCGTACGAGGGTTCCTCCGATCTTCGCATTGTAGAATATCATATAACCGTTTGCCAGAACGGGAGGTACGGTGCATGCCATCAATACCATTAGTTGGTGATTCTCAAAAGCGAGATGTGGTCAAGCTGCAGTACACGTGATCAAACAAACGAAGAAAACTTACTCTCTACCGAGAAAACGGGATATAAAGTTCGAAAGAGTCGACCACATGTCTTGACTGAGGATCGTCTTCCTCGATTGCCTCAAGACTTTTTGTGCTTACGGTATTAGGAAGTAAGTAGTTGCTGTTGCATGAATCTCTTTCCTCCCAAAGATTCGAAAGGACGAAAATTTTTGCTACGGGTTTTTACACCTGTCGTCAACAACGAACGAGAGACATACCGGTAGGCGGTTCAAGGTGATGTTCTAAATTCGGAAGAAAAGTCTCGCAATCAAACAGTCGTACGAAGTACTAGTAATATGCAGTACAAGTATGATGGTTAGATACTATGAATATGACCGGCAATTTTTTTATTTCGAGAACACCTCTACCGGATGAGTATGACCTAAGGTACTCGTATCGAATATTGGATGAAAGCTGGACAGAATGGTGCTATTGGACTAAGAGTGCCGGAGCATTACTTCCATTCCACAAAGATCATCCGTTTACCATCATCAGTTACCAGATCAAACTCCACGAACCGTACAACATGGTGAGGATCAAACATGGAAGCAAGGAGCATAGGAGTTTATGTCGCCGTCCCTTAGCGTTATATCTGCTTTTGGCGGCAGCCATTGCCATTTTTGCCGCGAACATGCAGTATCCGTCGGAAGTTTTTGTGACACTAGACTCGGTTGGTCTTCAGCGGAATTCTTCTCCCACAATTGCTACCAATGATGCTTCAGCTACCCAGCAAACAAAACCCCACGAACAGAACATGTCGAACCACCACTGCCTCAACGAGGATTTCAAACCACAGAACAAAGTGGGAGTCTGGACAATGCTTAACGACAACATGGATTATGTCAAAGGTGCCGCCAAGCTAGGTGTCKGTGTTCGCGCCAAAACGAAGACGCCACTGGATCTGGTGGTCATGGAACTGAGATCCAAGCCGCTCGGGAAGGACATGTGGGACGTGCTGCGGCTCGCGGGGTTCATCAAATGCACCGTTGAGAGCATCAAGTCTCCCGTCAAGACGCGGGAAGACCTGAAGGAAAAATTTTCGGTGTTGCACGTTTGGGCCATGGAAGTCTACGAGACGGTCGTCTTTTTGGACGCGGACACGTACGTTCAGAACAGCATCGACGACCTAATCCACATGGATCTGAAGGGGAAGGCGCTTGGGGTGACGAAAGACATTCGCGAACGGAAATGGGTCGAGACGTTCAACAGCGGAGTGATGGTGCTCAAGCCAAATTTGCAGGAACACAAACGATTGGTCGAGCTATTGAACAGCGGCCTGGAATTTGACTTTATCATGTCCGACCAGGGATTCCTCAACGAGGTCTACAAAGACAATTGGCACGAGATCGGGTTTGTGAACAATGCCAACCTCGCACTCTATAGATTTCAGCGTGAGTTCTGGGACCAGCACAAACTGGAAGACATCAATGTTATCCACTATACCATGAAAAAACCCTGGAAGTGCAAGCGAAATGGTCCCTATGGAYCGATATGTGCAGTTTGGATCGATGCATGAAATTGAGATACAATAGAGGACAAATGTCAGACAAAAAAGCGGACGACATTCCCCTAATGAGTTACCAAGTATATGTAACCACGGAGGACCTGCCAATTAAAAGCGACAATCGCGGGTAGAAGTCAGTAAAAATTTAAGCCTATGGTATTCTAATTCTCGAGTACAGACCACCTGCCAACTAAGAATGCATGGAACAATGCTAGAGAGGGACCAAAGAGCCAAAACCAGTAGTGTTGCTGCTGCTTTCTTCCGCTGTAGCAGTTTCTCTTTCCCAAAGCCGCTCGACAATGGGATCCGCACCGAGCGGTCGACCCACCCGCCGAACTCCCACAAGTCTCTGGAACGCCGACTCGCGAAGCACCCTTACTGGGCTGTACGGAATCAATTGCACCGTATCCCCGGGGACCAAGAAGTCGGCCCATTCCGACCTCTTGCCATCGTTTGAGTTGCTGGATTCCTCCGTGGTGTCTCCCCGACAAAGAGCYCCCGAGGCAGCATCACTCCCACTTGTACTATTGCTTTTAGTAGGATCCGAGGATCGCCGTGTCCAATACAATTCACCACCGCTCCTACCAGCATCGCCACCGCCAACATCCGAAGCCAATTTCTCCGAGGATTTGCTGCCTGTATTCTTCCTTTCCCCTGTTTCGGTTTCTGGCGTCGGAGTTTCGCGAAAGGCAACGCCGTGGGCTTCCAGGCTCGCTCCGATCCCCATTCCGCGTGCCCAATAATAGCCACCAACGTGGTGGTTGCTCAGTCCGATCCCGAGGTAGGCACCACCTTTCACGTGTCGATCGGGGCAGGCATCGACCCCCCCGATCACGGGCGACTTGCCGGACCCGTGTTCTCGGTTGATCCGATCGCGGACGCTCGTGTCCGTGACTCTAGTGTGCAGGAAGATCGATCCATCGAGGAGTTGTTCGCAAACCGTCTCGTCGATGGCATTGTTGTTTCCGCTGACTCGGTCCGGGCGTCCTGTTGCGACACTCTTCGACGACAAAAGAGATAGCGCGTCGTCCAAGCTCGTGGTTGTGTTCTTGAGAGCGCTTTCCGCCAGAGACAACTCGATCAGCAATGTGGGTGTCGGCAGGTCGCTCAGGAGATCCCCCACTCGGATAGTTTCTTCGCTTTTGTTGTCGCCACCAGCGAGGGTAGCACTTGCTGTAATCTTCGAACGTATACCCAGAAGAAACCGTCGGTGCTGGATTGTTTGTTGAATGGAGTGAGAAGATCGCCGATTTATGCTTGTGTAGCTTTTCGTATTTGTGAGTGCTTGGAGTTCCGCGGCGAAGCAAATAATGCAGACAGCGATGGGCAGTGCTAAATAGAAAACGAAATCGTCCCTCCTTGCCATCTTTCTTTCTTTGCGCCAGATGTCGACAGAAGCCTTCACACCAACAAAAATAATTACCGTTGTTCCTGTCTCGCTCGCATCTCCCTCCTCTAGTAGGAGTTAGGGTTCATCTTCAATTTGATGTCGTCGTCGGACTTGACCTTTCTGTTGAAACCTGGACCAAACGGTGCGAGGCTCAATCACGTACCTTTGTACGTATCACGTATTTCTGCTACAGTATTACAGTACGGTATCGTACCTTAGCACTGTAAGAAGACGTTGTTACTGTATTACTACTAGTATTTTTAGTATATTTGTACTATGGATGTACCTACTGAACTGCGAAGGCGGATTCCGACCATCGTATGCTACGTACATACAGTCTAAAGATATGATAAAGATCTGTTGTGAGTAAGCTTTGGCTTTTGGCTCACACAGAGAACTTACTGAATTTACCGTGAAAGTGATAATGACAAAGATGGTGGCGCGCCATTTTCAACTACAGCGTACTCGTACCCTTCTTGCCTATTCTGATTAATTTTGAGATCTTCCTTCATTCCCCCCATTAGTCGTACTCGTACCATACGGTACATCAAGGTCTCTCATGACCATTCCCATTTTTGATTGTCTACGAAATCACACCAGAAGTGGCGCCAATACGGCAGAGTGACTGACACTGTCTAATCCAACTTGTTGCTGATTCAATATCAACAGAGTAGCTACCAATCATGTCAGAAAGTACATATTCTATTGCGGTGCGTATTCAGTATGTGGTCGCGAGCAGTATCTCTTTTCGTCGTATGCCAACACAAAGAAAAGTTCCTTCCATTTCCGATGTGACAGATCTTTTGGAATCGAAGTTTGTTTGTCAATGACTCGATTTGGCTCACCATTAATTTGTATCAATTGGACTCAATTCGTCGTCGACAATGGGATTTGAATCGGTCGGATAAATTCAGCTCGCCAAAACCTCCCGGGCTAAGTGCAAGACCTGCAAGGAACCTATCCAAAAGGGGGAGCTAAAGGTATTCGTGGAGGCACCTCTTAGAGAAGGCGCAAACTTTGCCATGTCTGCTTCTTATCATGTCTCCTGCTTTAAGATTCCTCGCAAACTGGCATCTGCTGGTGTCGATGTCGAACAATTCGTTGGGGATTACCTTATGGACAACGACGGAGAATTGCTCCTCGACCGCAGGGAAGAAGTTTTAGATATGCTTCGAGAAGCTGCCTCGAAAACCAAGGCGAAAACGAAAAAGGCAAAATCTAGCGAAAATGGCTCGAGCTCCACAGATCTGATGGAACGCTTGAAGGAGGCCGCGAGTGTGGACGATGATGGTGGAAAAGCACCCCCAAAGAAAAAAGCCAAAACCAATTCAAAATCAAAAGAGGAACAAGAGTTCAAAGCCATGATCTCGATCTACCRAAAGTACCAAAAAGGTTATACTGTGGCAAAACTCAAGGATATTCTTCGTTGGAACCAGCAGCTGCTCACTGGCACCAAGTCGTTTGTCCTGTTTAAGGTCATCGATGGCGAGCTCCACGGCCGGCTCTCGATATGCCCGCTTTGCCAAGGAGACTTGAAATTGATGGAAGGAGATTACGACAAAATTTATTGCAGCGGTAGATACGACGAAGGTTGGTTACTTTGTATCTTCTTTCTTACTTCACAGCGTATTGCAGGTCATAGGAAACAAAACTCATCGCGCTACTCGCACTGTGCTTACTTTTTCACTTTTTCACTCCTCTATTCAATAATTTTTTCCCTTTTTCTTTTTTGCAATCCTGTGAAACAGACATTGGGCGCCGCATTCCATGCTCATACACGGTGCCACGACTCGGCAATGCCGAAACCATCCGTGCTCGACCCTTTTATCTCGAGGAGCCTTCGGAGGAAGAAAAGGAAGCCATGAAACAGTTCCGAGAAGACGCACGGGAGGGAGGCGGTGGCGGAACGAAGCCGGGCGACAACCCAGTGGCCCAAGAACTACTGGAAAAAGCAGAAGCCCTAGATGGAAAATTGGATTTTACAACCAATCCAGGGCGAAAACACGCTGTGGGAGAATTTGTCGCCCTCGTCAAGGGCAAGGTCGATCTCCCCGAAAACCGTAACGCGAAGATGGAAGTCGGGAAACTCGTCATGGCCAACTGCAATGGTAAATCGCCGAAAGAAATCATGCAAATAATCTTCGACAAGTTTGGTTTTGCCGACGTGAAACAGGAAAAGGCTGCGGCCAAGGAAGCCGCGGCAGAAGCTGCCTGTGCAAATCCGAAGAATGCGGCATTAATCCTTGCTTTCGAAGAATGCTCCAAGGTATGCAAGAGATGGACAGAATCACAAATCAGAAAACCAGGATACTTTCTTTTCTATCGATCACTCAGTAATGGTTGAATGATGACATTAAAAATCTCATCCGGTAAYWACCCGATATGTTCATCGGTTTCTAACACTTTCTTTTCCTTTGAWATCCTAAACCACTAATCTCACGATAGTACTACTTTGCAGAGAGCAACAGGAATGCGGCACTATCTTACAAAAAAGCTATCGCAACTCTCACCGAACTCGAAGAGGCAGTTACGGAAGACAATGCTTTATCTTTCTCCAAAGGAAAAACAAAGCTCCCTGGAATCGGGAAAGCGACTGCAGAAAAAATGAGGGAGTTTTGCCAGACCGGCACATTTGCAAAATTGGAAGAAAAGCGAGAAGCCCATAAATAGGGGACCTTGATCTCAATGTGATTGAGGTTCACTCTCCACGTCAACTAGTAAGGTTGTTGAGTTACAGTTGGTGCAAAACTTCTTCTGTCGTTGGGCAGGCAGAATGATCTTTCGTTGCCAAAATTTATTTCTCATTGAGTGCATCGTGGTCAGCACACCAGTACACAACATACTTTACAATCCAGCTACAAGTTTGCAGTATGAATAGAACATCAATGCGTACGTTTATAGAAATTGCAACAAAAGAATTCAAAAACGCGACATCACAGGTGTAGACCATATAAAGGCGATAACATGCCAAAGGAAATAATGATTTTGCTGCATGAACTTGGAGCCTACAGAGACCATGACTTAATCGTCACGTTGAAATGTCATATCCGTCATTTTCCCTTTTAGTAAGCAGAATTTAACGTTGATATTATTTGTTGCATTTTGAAGCTGACGATTTTCTCCACCGTTCATCAAGATTTTTCATACTGCACTCAAATAACGGCTTCCCCAGTTTTTCGTTGACATCGTTGTGTTGCTTACATAGCCAGAGACAGAGATCGGTCCGTGACTCCGCTTCGACTGGAATCTTCTTGATGTTCTGTTGAAAGTCCTCAGCGCAATACGTGCAGGGGTAGAATTCTGCCAGTGTGTGGAAGAAATTCACCATCCCATCCTTTTGTTTCGTCGTGGGTCGATCTGGGTACCAGGCGGCCATGCTGTGAAGGAACGACCATGTATTCCGTCCTAGTTCAGTACTCTTTGGTGGACACTCTACTTGTTTCTTTCTTTGCTTCTCGTACTTTTTCTTCATCTCTTCTAGTTCTGCCATCGATGTAGGAAGAACCGCCTTCATTTCGTCACATGCCGGTCGTTCGCAATTGTCTTCCTGGAAAAGCCCTTGTTTGGGCGCCATTTCGGTGCTGTCTAATCTGAAGAGATCACCGCCAAATATGGTACTTAGGTTCTTCGGTGTGCAAATGCACTATTTTATAACATCAGTACGTGCTATCTCATCTACTATGCTCATTGCAGAGTGACGTGCGGTAGTCCTGATCATCAGTCTGACATGACCCCTGTTTCGGATTGCGATCGTAACCAAAAACATCAAGCGATGATTATTTTGACCAAAATTCCACACGAACTTTCCACACGAACTTTCCACACGTTGCCATTCGCTCGCAAGGATGTGGGACGACCGAGTCGTGAGGGAAGATAAGCTCCAACCCTAATACAACTCCTCCGTTTCATAGTAATTGACTGAGTCACTTTTTCGTCAGTCACAGTTGGCTGTGCTGATGAAAGAGATATTTCGTGTTAGTTCACGCCCCGATACTCCCTGTCGTGTGTGAACTCTTCCTCCTCATCGATACTTTATTTTCATGGCAGAACTGTTTGGAGAACATTTACTGTGAAAACCACGAATATGTCGACTAGGAATGCTTTCTTAATTGCTTTGCTATTGGCAAAGAGCGGGTCAGGTCTATCGCCCGGAAGGGTTGGTCCTTCTGCAAGGGCTACTACTGCCTCCGTCGAATCGGTCGCACGAAACGAGGCAGTGTCGATAGATGCTACTCCAGATCGTCGTGGTTTCTTGGCTTCTGCTCTCGGCGTGGTTGGTGCCCCAACAATGATCGCGTTGACGTCTATACCATCGCCGGCCGACGCTCGTGACGAGCTTTTTCGGCCCAACCCGCTGACCAACCCACTCCTAGAACAGGTTCGGATCATGGAACAAGCCGAGAAGGACAACATAAAATACGGGGGTGAACTAGAGCGGGGCGATGCCGGAAACAAGGGCAAAGTGGACGCATACCCGTCGCTTCTGGTCCCGATTTTGAAGATCGACAAAGAATTGAACGAGATCAGAACGCTGGTTCGTTCCGGTGGCGAGAACAAGCCATCAAACGAGGCCATGTCACAGGCGCTCGCAATACTGCAACAGCCGACTTACGAAAAGGTCAATTTCAAAAAGACATTCAACAAATACGGGGACAATATTTATTACAGCGACCCCGACCGCGCCAACTTGTATCTCGGGGGAGGGGCTACTCCCAAGACAGAGCAATCGATTGCGTATTTGTTGAGAAACGATGTCCTAACAAACATGGAGAATCTTAGGGCAGAACTCGAATACTTGATCAAAAGTGAAGAAAATGAAATCGAAGATTTATACTCATATGCTGATATCTGTACAAGTGCAATGAAGAAATACCTTGCGCAGGTTCCACCGCAGCAGTTGAAGGAGGCAGAAAGATTACTATCTTCTGAACAGTCGTCGTAAACGAAGATGGATTATAAATTTAACCAGAGATTCATTGATTATTGTTTTGTTTCATTTCAAACCTTTTGTTGAAGATTTAATCTTCACTTTGACACAAACGTCCCAAATCCAAATGAAAGATCCATCACTTCAATTCAGCTATAAGCACACTTAGTTTTTGTTTTCATCAACAGTTTTCTAGTGCTTCGTTGCGGATCGATTGGCGTAATGGTTTTCCTCGAAAGAGTGTGTGTACCATGATCCTCACCTGATTACCCCAAAGCTAGGTGTTCTCCCTATCGTATGGCGCGAATGCAACTGAGGAACGAAGATTTTTTTACTGTGAATCCTGCATCGTATTGGTTTTTGTCACCTTTAGCACAAAGTTGTCTCGATATGTTGTGCGGAACGGATACCAGCCTCCACTCAGCAAGAAATATTGTGGGTTGTCGCTGTCGCCACTTTCAATTTCTTTGCCAAGAACCCGAGGCATCGAAGAAAGCGGCATCAACGAAGCGGCATTCCGACCCGGGGGGGCGTCTGCAGATCCATCTTCACTCAACCGAGTCCATTTTGCCACAGTTTTCGTGGAGGATTCGTCATCGGTTGCACTTTCTTCGAGTTCCAGCAACCACGTATCGTTGCATCCGTGCAGTCCGGCCTCACTGGTAGGAGTCGCACCACCAAATACAATACAAGATTTCTCATCCAAAGCTACCATACAGGGAGATGCACGTGGACAAGGCATGTCTTCGGCTTCCGACACAGAACAATCTTCCCAAATCCATTTGTCCGTATCTAAAACAAATACTTCGTTCGACATGCTTCCACTCTGAGCTGCACCGCCAAAAACAACTACTTTGCTAGTTCCGGGCAGACGAACGGCAACATGCAGACCGCGTGCAGACGGGGCGGTGCCCGATGTCGGCTGTTTGAGAAGCTCCGAACCTTTAACACTGAGGAGCAAGACATGATCCGTGCAGCGATGGTTGTGAACGAGGATTTGGTCCCCCAGGGGCACGGCACACAAGCGGCTCGTTGGTTGTTCTAGATCCGTCGGCAACTCGTCCCAGCTTCCGCCCTCCCCGTCATTTTCGCTGAAAACTTGCACGTCTTTCAAAATGACGCCGCCGGTCCCGGCTTTCTGCGAGTCCCAGCCGCCCAGGACCAGTCCAGCCGGCGTGTCTTCGTCCAACCGAAACGTCACGGCTGCTGCTGCCAATCGAGGCTGAGGCTGCGACGACGAGGCAGGCTTGACCAGCKTCCACTTGCTRTCGCCGGTGCCGTCGCTACCGCAAAAGCACCACAAATCGTTTGTAGGGTACCGTTCTGCCGTGGTGGTGTCTTCGGCATAGCCACCAAAGACATAGATCTTGTCGTTCAGTCCGAATGCGACGTGGCCCGACCTTGGTGGCTCGATACTCCTTCCGACGTCAAGATTTAGGTTGATCCATTCTGCAGTCCAGGCTGATGCCATTTGGGTACAGCTGTTGACGACTACGAATGCAACCAGCTTTGAAATACGTAGCAAAACCATGTTCTTCGTCAAATGGAGAGTCCTGTTCGATGTTCGATATTGGACAGTGGAAACAACTAGTCCTCGTACCGGTACCAAATACCACTTGAAATTGTGTTGTGTCAAAAAGAACACGTCCAGTCAAAAGAAGAAAAAAGATTTTTAATGAAAAATTTGGAGATGACAGACACCAGATCAATTATCAGAAGGAAAAATTCCCGATTCATTTAAGATGAAACCTCAGTGCTACTACTGCTGCTGCTGTGCGATGAGGAAAAATACTAGTAGAACTTCTTGTGGTGATCATTTTGTCAAGTACAAAAACTCTTCTTACTAGTACTAGCAGTCTGCTGGACAATATTGGGAGGATGCTTTACTGCTTGCTTCAAACAACTCAAAGACCAAACATAGTAGTATGATTTCTTGTTGTTGTTTCATCAAATGCTGCGTCACGAAAAAAATAAAATGTGATAACTAGATTGGTTGGCAGTTAAGCAAAGAAGTATTGCCATCATTTGGATACCACCAAGAAATACAAAAATGGAAACTCTCTTTTACAAAATATCAAAATACAGGAAGAAGAAGAGTACTACTACTACTAGCCACTAGAACTAGAACAAAGATTTAATAGGAAGAGGCTGAGCCACAGCAGAGAAGATTTTCTGACCAAAAGGTCTGGTGAAAACATCAACCAGACATGGGCATCAAGGTTTTCAAGTGAGACTAWCTCCATTCTATCCAATCTTTATCTCCTTCTGGTTCACAACAGCTGATTTTGCACCCAAACATCTCTGTTGTTATCTTTTGAATTGTGCTATTTTGAAAAACTTGAGCTATGGACACCTGAATGTATTTTGTGACTGGGAAAATACTACTTACTATCCTYTTCCTCAGTGCAACTTGGGGCATTGAACCTCTCTGTGCAATAAGTCTTGCATCCCTCGTGCYTCCTCTTGTTCACAAGGGCAAACTGAAAACTACTTTTTTATTCGTACGTACCCTCCCCTCCGAAATGATAATTATAATTTAATTACTATGACTAAGAGAGTAGAATGCCTCAGCAAATCAATCATAATACCTTAGGCTCTAAGACCATTTGATCCACATATTGAAAGCTAAGTCAATAGAAACGGTTGCAGACATCTTGCTATCAGTTCTCTGATAGAATATATCACGTTTTCGTTCAAAACCAATCTCGAGAGTTTTTTTTGGAAACGGTCATTCCAAGTTCTACAAATGCTATCTATTGCTCTCAACAGCCACAATTTCAGTTCACCTTGTTTTCTCCGTTGTCCAGTTTCATTTTCATCCTCTTTGATTCTTATTTTCTTGACAGCTATTATTTCATTTGATTTATGAGCTTGCTCTTTCCTCCATTTCTTCAAACACCTCCAGAAAAGTATCAGATGACTGTGCTCCTGAAAACCCATAAGGGCGACGTTGTTTTCTAGAACCGTGCTCGGCGGAAACAATGAAGAACGGAACACTCTTAATACCGTACCGTTGCCTCCCAAGTGCAATGTCGGTCTCTAACTGAGACTTGCCCTCGTTCCTAGTCAAGAATCTTCTCAGATCGTCGAGATTGACKTTGCTGCCATTGMTATTCTCGTCACTTGCCTCTTGKCCTATTCGAGCTAACACATCAACCAAGGAAATGTTTAGGCCCTCCTCGTATTCGGCTTGGAAAAGAAGAGCATTCATACGGTCTGTCGACGAAATGCCATTTGATTCGCAGTACTGAATAAGCTGGTGAGCCTTTGAGGTGTTTGGCCACCACTTCCAGTYGCCGAAAKATGCACCGTCCTTTCGCCCCTCGGATTTGAGATGATTGGTCCACCCAGCACCGCCCCACCTTCGATTGCAGTAGTCGTCGACTGTTTCGCCAAGCGGGGATGTTTGAGGATCGATCTGAAATGGTTTCCATTCCACGTCGACTTTTCGGCTTGGACTCCCATCTGTAAAAGAACTTATTGCTTTGTGTAGACGTTGCTGGCCGACGTAACACCAGGGTCACGCAAKATCTGAATAAACGATCACTTTGATAATCGACGCCATGATCATGGTAAATTAGTGACTTCTGTTCTAATACTAACACAGGCTAGAATAAGATATTGAATCRCCGTAGTGTGTTGTTTTTGATGAAAGAAGTTTCGACGCGATACGTTACGTACGTACTGTACATACTATCTCCCTCTGTACCGTATCCTGTATCCTACCGGTAGGTTAGACATGATAGTTCTCCTCCTGCACCATTAACAATAGGTACCTCGATAAAAGGAAAAATGACTCATATTCCATGACGCCTCCCCAACAAATGCATAAAGTATTCACTAACCTTCCTTGTCAAAAGCTTTGAGTGCAGCAATAAAAGGAGAGGGATTCAGTGCTATGCTGATAGTTTTTTCAGTTGTTATTGATCACAACACTTCGGAGAAAGGCAATGGACTAGAAGAAATTTATATTCCCATTATTTCTCACTGTATTGGCACTGTTATTCCAATAAAAGTTTACAACATAGAGCACCGCAAATCACAAGATTCATGAAGTCTTGATTGGAAAAATAATTTGTACGATAAAAAACCAGCATTCAATATTATACTGTTGGTGGCAAGTCCTTGATGAAGTCAAGCAACCTGACTTAAAAAACCTGTCACTCCTCCGCAATTTTTGCGTTGAATTCCCAATCAGGAGTGACAGCCATGGCCCAGTTAAACTTGTCACGCAGAGTTTTGGAGAACACTTTTTCGATTGGTACCTCATTTCGCTTGCACCATGCCACAGTGATTCGAGGATCCATGTAGTTGATCTTGGAAGTACCCAATGACACTTCCTTGTTGTCATCCTTGTGCTTCAAGTTCATTTCCATCTTCGAAATTTTGGCACTCCAGTTTTGGATCTTCTTTGCAACTTGGTCCGTGGTGGGAACCTTATCCCATAAATGAGCTTGCTGAAATTTTATTGACGCAACTTCTCGTTTCTTCTGTTTCGCTTTTTCGTCGGCTTCTGTAGCCTTGATTTTTTCCTCGTTGGTCTTTGCTTTGTCTTTCATCTTTTTAGCCCTTTCAATACCTTTGGCGGCCTCTTCAGCTAGTTTCTTCTCGTCGTGTTTTTTTATAGGAAACTTGTCCGTATTCTTTCCCTTAGTCAGATGAGTCAGCATCTTCTTCAACATGCTCTTCTGCTTCTTCAGTAATGTCAACTTTTCTTCAATATTTGACAGTTGCGTCTCTTGTGCTTTGCTAACAGAGCGCTGGTGATTACACAGAATAGCAACTTCGCGATTTGCGTTGTTGTATTCAACAACCTTCTCTGCAGCATTCATTTTCTTCCACCTACTATCAGAACTTTCGGTTTTTCGAAGTTCCTCTTGCAATGTACGAGATGCGTTATAGGTACGAAAGACTTTGGCAGAAAGTCCATCCATAAATTGTTTCAGGTGGTTGTTCAACATCGTAGGATTGATACCATCGAAAACCTCTTCCGTTTTCTTCTTCTTTGAACAAAAGGACTTGAGATTGGCAAAGACCTTGTCACCCATCCCACTATTCTCGTTGTACATAGGGGCACCAAAATCGATTGTCTGCTTGAAAAGCATAGAATCCTTACCTAGGAACTCCAGCTCTATTTCTTTGTTGTCCCCGCCCTCCCCGTTCGGATCAAAATGAAGATGTTCTACTCGCAGAGAGCAGCAACCAACTGTGTCGGCCTCTTCGTCAGTATCCTTCTCACCACCAACACGAAGGGCCAAACGATCAATGACCCATGTTGCTGTTGCAAGCTGTTTGATTTCTTTGTCCTTGGATTTGAGGTCAGTCTTGTACGATTTGCGAATGCTCACAATCTTATCGCACAACTTAGCTGCTTTGTTGTACTTCAATCTATCCGACTTTCCCTTGAAGGATGATTGAGCTGCTAGTTGCATGTACTTGGATTGGTTGTTGATGTTCTCCTTCCACGTGGCCAGCCACTGTCCGCGAGGGTCGTGTCGAATGTCGCCCCATGCATGTCCGKGAACATTGCATCGTGGAACGGCAGCGCATTCCGAAAGGTTGAGAGAAACTTGCTCGGGTGCAACCCGTGACTTGAGTTTTCCCATTTTCGGATGCTCTCCGCGTCCCCGAAAGGCACCGGGTGGTTCCATGTTGTAGTTCCCCACTTTTTCAATGTGACCATCGACTTGTGCAAATCCATACTTGAACATCGCTTTGTTGCGGTCATCTTTGTTGGCCTTCCGTTCTTGATCGGATATGGCTTTTCGRATTATCTTCTGCTCTTCCAAATGTTTTCGAATGGGTTCAAAGTCGCACTTTTTAAAGTCTTTGATAAYGTGTCCCCTACCTAGTGTGGCTTTGAAATCGGCGAAGAAATTCTTGATGAAAATCTTGGCGGTTTTTGGATTCCCCAAGTGCATCCCATCAGGATCCATAGCGGCAAAAAAGGTGGCACTATCCTCGAATAAATCGACAGCATTATTGATTTGACAAAATGAACAGTAGTGACACACAACCAACAATTATTAAGTGCGGTGTATTCCGGACRAAATTTCAAGAGAAGTCGAGGTTAGAAAAAGTTCTAGCAAGCATTCGAAACCAMCTCAAACCTACAGTACTACCGTACCCGTTTGAGACCGGTGCAGTAMAAATCGAAACAAATTATACTCACGCCTCCTCTTGGATCGGATTCAAATCGATTGGCTTCCCATCGTATTTCATCCTTACACGGTGTGGTTGATAAGGGTCTGGGAAGCTGACCCCGGCATGTTCCATTTTTTCCCATTGGCAGCCCGCGGGTGGTTCCTTAGCGTTCCACCAAAGGAAGGATTGCATTGCGTATTGGAGACGTTCTGCCTTGTCCAGTTTTTTGAGTTCCTTCTTGGGAGGAGGAGSAGCAGTTTGCTTAGTTTTTTTGGCCTTTGCGGTGGTAGACGATAAGACTTTCTCGGGCTTTATGTTCTCCCGTTTCCGCTTCTTCGCAGGAGCTGTCTTTTTCGTCATTTTCTTCTTKCTGTTTGTCGTGGCAATAGCTGCCAACGGCATGTCGTCATCTTCATCGGAGCTCATTTTGTGGAGTATGTCCTTTTCTGCAGACAGGCAGATTCTTGGTTCGATTTGGTGGCTCTTAATCTATGATGTTGAAATTTGGGCGCTGTGGTGTATGATGTGCCGATAGTGGTGTTAAAGTCTAGTTGTCTTATTTTTTATCCTCGAAATTACCKTACCACTTCATGACTGTCATCATGACAGTACCGTTAGTACTTACAAAGAAGTACTTCACAAGTATTTTTCGGTCTAGTCCAAAAATGCATGGTGCGAGTTGCTTCGAGCTTCCACTTTTCCGGCACGAAAATGGAACTACAGAGCGTATAGTTCCTACGAGTACCGTAGATAACCTACGGTACTATTTTGCATTGTACAGTACTGTAACGTTCGAGTAGAGATGGTCTCGGATTCGGTGCGACATGGTATGGCACGTTACGTTATCGTACTCGTACTACTTCTTGAAGTAGCTATTACAGAGCTCTTGTTCTGTCGAATGCCGCAAGGTCGTTCATTATTCGGAGTGTACATGACCCTGCCTTACCGTACGGTACAGAAGACTGAAACACTAGTAGCAAATTATTTTCCATGACCGCAAGCTGCTAAACTGTGAACTGAAAGGTACGTACGAGTTTTACCGTAAGGTTGCCAGTTCGCTATGACTTGGTTGTATTTTTAGGCAAGAGTACGCGTCGTGTACGTAGTGAAA